CATACTTAAAAAAAATTGTGTGTATATGTATGTATATATGTGTATGTATAATCATATCTTCACAATTAGGAACAGCTTAAGAATTTTTTATCTCCTTATCCCTAAAACATGCTCAGAGACAAATGGATTTTTTATATTATTTTATGGGTCATATACCAAAACAGCTCTAAGTGCAGGTGAATGCCCAATAGGTGGCAATAAAAATTATCTGTTACACTGACCAGAATTTTTATTTTTATAGCACCCTTCAAACAACTGTGGGAGAAAAAGAGTCAGAGATGAGGTGGATGTTGTGTTAGGTAGCTTGGGATTCATCTCATGGCTGATGGGGAGCCTTTGGAGGTTTTAAATCAGGAGAGTGGCATGATCAGATTTGGTTTAGAAAGACCACTTACAGATAGTAATAGGTTTGGAGTCAAATCCTGGTTATTATTGGGTCAAGTTACCTGATATCTCTATGCCTCAGTTTCCTCATCTGTAAAATGTGAATAATGGTAGCACTTGACCTATAGGGTGTTGGCGAAGATTTTTTTTTTAATTTTATTTAGTTATTTTTCAAGTACAGTTTCTTGTCTATTTCTCCCATCCCAGCCCCCCCTGCCCCCTCTCCCCACCTCCCTCCCATTCCCCACCCCCCAGTCCTCATCCCTGTGTCCCTCATACTTGCTCCTCAAAATCCCTCCCCATTTTTCCCCTTAAATTCCCTTCCCTCTCCCCTCTGGTCGCTGCCCACTTGTTCTCTATTTCAGTGTCTTTGTTTTTATTCTGTTTGCTTGTTTGTTTTGTTGTTTAGCTTCCTGTTAAAGGTGAGATCATATGGTATTTGTCTTTCAATGCCTGGCCTATTTCACTCAGCATAATGCTTTCCAGTTCCATCCAGGTTGTTGCAAAGGGTAGTAGCTCCTTCTTTCTCTCTGCTGCATAGAATTCCATTGTGTATATGTACCATAATTTTTTGATCCATTCATTTACTGACAGGCACCTAAGTTGCTTCCAACTCTTGGCTATTGTAAATTGTGCTGCTATGAACATTGTGGTGCATAGGTTCTTTGAAATTGATGTTTTAGGATTCTTAGGATATAATCCTAGCAGTGGAATTGCTGGGTCAAAAGGCAGGTCGATTTTTATTTTTCTGAGAAAATTCCATACTGTTTTCCATAATGTTTGTGAAGATTAAATGAGATAATTAAAAAAGATAAATTACCTAGTAAGTGACTGGTCCAGAATAAGTACTCAATAGCTGAAAATGATAAGACATAATTATTGGAGTAGAAAGAAATTGGAACCAGGGAAATCAAATGTAGTTAAGCAAGAGATACTAAGGACCTGAATTAAGAGGGGATATAACTGGAGAGGATAGTTAGGAAAGATATCAAAGGCTTTGTTAGGCTTTGAAATATGACTAATGGGAGGGTGAGGAAAAGGCAGGTGCCTTTGGTAGCTCTCAATTTCTAACCTGGGTGACTGAATGGATGGTGGTGCACTGAATGAGATAGGAAGTACTAGAGAAAAAAGGAAGTTTGGGGTGGAAAAATATAATGATTGATGTGGAAAAAGAACATAATGAGGTCATTTTCTAAGATATTGAGTTTGAATACTCTGTCATCAGTTTAAATGTGAGATTCTGGAGGGTCTAAGCTATAGAAATAGATTTGAGCTTCATCATAAAGTATAAGATGAAGCTATGGGTGGGAATATTTTACACACGCCCCAAGGGAGGAGTATGTAGAATACTATGGAGGAGGAGAAGAAAACTGTGGGGTCACATATATTTCTGGAGGGGTCAAGGATATTGAAAGGAACTATCAAAGAGGTTGGTGATATGGAAATGAAATTGGAGAAGAAATTTCAGCCCTGGTTGGTGTGGCTCAGTGGACTGAGTGCAGGCCTGTGAGACAAAAGATCGGTGGTTTGATTCCCATTCAGGGCATGTGCCTGAGTTGTCGCCCGGTCCCCGGCTGGGAGCATGCTGGGGGCAACCAATTGATGTATCTCTCGCACATTGATGTTTCGTTCCCTTTGTCTCTCCCTTTCCCTCTTTCTAAAAGTAAATAAATAAAATCCTTTAAAAAAGTTTCCAGAAAGAGCAAGTGAGCCTTCAGCAATGTTAGGTCCCATAAGAGAACTGAGAAGTGACCACTAGACAGCTGTGTTATTACCAGTCGCTGCCCTTAGGGTGCTCACACTAAAATCTGTAATAATAAGAATAGAAATATGCTCTCCTGTGAAGGAGTTCTGGCTGGAACATGTTATCCCATTGATACCTGGGTTACTTTGACTGTCATGGTGGTTGGGGAGATAGGGGAGATTCCTCTTCCTGCAACACTCCTTGGTCAAACAGAATAACCTCTCCAAGAGAAGAGGATCTTCTTCACTAAATAGTATAAGAATGGTGGACCTCCCTTGCTGGAATCTCCAAGTTGCCTCCTATGTATACTGCAGTATTGTGTTTCTTTTTGTAATACTGCCCCTGTTTTCAGGTAAAAACTTAGAGACAACAGAGTGTCTATTTGACCAGTTCTTGTGGTGATGGAAGGTGGTACGGAGCTTTGCTCAAAGTGAGAAAAGGAAGAATAGAGGGAGGGAGGTAGGAGAAAGGTTAGATAATGTGTCAGACTTAGATGAAGGACTAGCAGAGGCTAATTGGGTGGGTTTTGTTAGGCGTAGACAGTGGGAACAGGTTGGAGGAAGGGCAAGATGGTGTTCCTTCAAAGGAGGGACAGTACAAACAAAAGTGTAGAGGTGGGAAAGCACAAGCCAGACTCAGGCAATGCCATTAGCCTCCCTGAGCTGTACCTCAAAGTCCCAGCACATGAAGGGGGGAGAGCAGGCTGGAATGGAGACTGTGGCCAGATGGTAGAGTTCCGAGGGCCAGGGCAGGGAGTTTGGGCTTTCTTCTTCTGTGGTTTGACGGATTCTGGCTGGAATCATCAAAAGCTTTTCAGGAATTCAGGCTTGTGTGTCTCAGGCTTCTCCTTCTGGAAGACCAAGGGCCCATAGTGGCAGCCTGACATTCAATCTCCTTTGCCATGGTTGGGAATTCAGGGCTGTAGCTGATTTCATTGGCCTGTTTTGCATTTATTATAGTGTGGCTTTTATAGTGTGTTAATTGAAATATTTCCAACTGCCAAAAACAATTACACTCAAATTGCCTTGTCAGTTCTTTTATTGCCAGATAAATGTTTTACAGACATTTATGGGGGCAGTGGTAACTGGATCTCATTTTCTATTTAAGGCTGGCAGTTTGGGTTGGGATTGGCCCTGCAATACTCTGATGTGGACCAGAAAGCTGTTGGGCATTGTGGCGCTTCCATCTCGTTACCTTAGGGATCAGAGGCCCTTTAAAGGAAAGCAGCTTTCTGGCTCATGTGGCTTAGCCTCAGAGAAGGGTTCTCATCACTGGAAACCTTGGTAACCCGGCAGAAATTTGAATCCTGCTGCCTGCCCTGCCAGCAACAATCCCAGCTCAAGCAGAGACACACTTTACTCTCCCCCTGGAGTCCCTTTTCTCCTCCCCCCACGCCGCCCCACCCACTGCCAAAACCTCTCCCATAGACCCTATCATGTAAGGGCTGTGAGAGCCCATCTAGTCGAACTCCCTTGCTTTGCATTTGGGAGACTGGGGCCCAGAGACTTCCCAAAGATCACACAGGTCATAGTCAGCAAGAACTGGGAGCAGAGGTCTCTTTCCCATGTGCCATGCTGACACCAACATGTGCCCTTTGGCTTCTCTGCTGCCTTGCCCCTCCCCCAGTGCTCCAGGCTGGCTTTTTCCAAGAGCGTCTCCCTCATCTTTCCAGCCTTCATTGATCTTCCTCTTGTTTGATCATCTGGAACATCTATTGTTCTGTATAGCTACTGCAGGGTTTTCTTTTGTTTGGTGAAAATGTGACTGTCCCTGTCACTGTTCTCATCTAGACTTCCCACATGCTGTGTTCTGAAAAGCCCTTCGGAAAAACATTTCTCCACCTAGACAACCCTACTTGTCTTTTGATAGCCAGATAAGAAATTGCCACCTCTGGGAGCCTTTCTTGTGCACCTCAGGTTGGGTAGGTGCCTCCATGCTTTCCTGCCACACCCTGTGCATACATGTCTCTATTGCTAACCCACAGCAGGCTTTCAAAGGCACATATGCTGAAGGAGTGAGGGAGTGAGCAAGTGAGTAAATGATCATACTCTTCTGTCCTCTATGGACCCTGAACAAACTAGGATAGGGACATCATCTCTCTCTGTCTTTGTACCACCGCTCAGGTTAGCACCTGACACATAAATAATAGATGCTCGATAAATGTTTATCAGGTCAATTCGAGCATGCTGCTCTTAAGAACATAAAATGGAGCATGTTAGGACTAGAAATTCATCATATCCAGTCCCATGCATTTTACTGACAAGGAAACTGAGTCTCAAAGAGGAAAACCATTTTTCCCAGGGTCATGACTACTAATGAGTTTGATGGCATTCATTCGTTTTTCCAACAAGTGTTTTTGAACACCTACTATATTATGAGACAGAGTGTACGAAACAAAGTTCCTGCTTGTAAAGAACTTACATTCATTTAAACAAGTGTTTAGGAATGTAATCTGCCCTTTAAAATTCCATTAATGCCCCATACAGAGCTGAGCATTTAAAATAAGCTGTTTAAAAAATGTTTGTTGAACTAGTTGCAGATAAGACGTGCCCAGTGCTACGCTGCCTGGTTGTTCTCCATGGGTCAGTCCCACTGATGGTAGCCTGGGGGTTGCCTCAGACACAGGACCTCCCTGGCTGGGGTAAGAAGCACATGTTGTCCCAGTTGGTATGGCTCGGTGGGGGCATTATCCTATAAACCAAAGGGTCACAGGTTTGCTCCCCAGTCAGGCACATGCCTTGGTTGTGGGTTCAGTGCCCATTTGGGGCATTTATGAGAGGCAAGGTCCCTGAGCAGAAGCCTCCCTGTGGTACAGTCTCTGATATCCTCATGGAGATTTGCTTATGACTTACCTTCGTTTCTGTTCTTTCAGAGCGTCCCTGCGGGCAGAGGAGCCAGGAAGAGAGTAAGTGCTGGAACTACCACCATCTCTCAGCTAGAAGCTAATAACACTTCTTCTTTTAAAATTATTAGCTATCTATTTTTTGGAAAATTTAAGTGAGCAAAAAGAATATTAAAATCACCCTTAAACCTACTACCCCTAGAAACCTCTTAGTTAATATGGGATATTATATCATCCCTGATGCTTTTATGCATACTATAAAAATTACATGTATTTATTTTTAATGGAATTTCAAACTGTATGTTATTTTATAATCTCCCTTTTGTATGATATATTTAGAGTTCCTTTTATTACCAATAAATACTTCTATAGCCTCATTAATAATTAGTGCATGGTATTTTACCATATGTTTAAGGCCATCCCATAATCAGTTCAACCATGCCCTATTGTTAGACATTTAGATATTTCCTCTCTTTCACTATTTTTCACACTCAATCCTCTAACAAACTTTCATGCATTTAAATCCTTAGGCAGCCCTGGCTGGTGTAGCTCGGTGGATTGAGCGTGGGCCTGTGAACCACACGATCGCGGTTCAATTCCCAGTCAGGGCACATGCCTGGGTTGCAGGCCGGTTCCCTGCAGGCCAGTTCCCAGCAGGGGACACACAAAAGGCAACCATACATTGATGTTTCTCTCCCTCCCTCCTTCCCCCCTTCCCTTCTAAAGATAAATAAATAATAAAAAAAAAGAATTGCTTGTTTAAAAAAAATCCTTAGGCATATCTGTGGTTATTTCTTTAATATAAATGTCCACACATAGATATCTGAGTCAAAGAGGATAAATGCTTATTAGGCTTTGACAAATATTTCCAAATTGCTCTTCAGAAAAGTAGTACTGATTTTTGAGTGCTTATTTTCTCACAACCTCACCAACACTGGATATTAGTTTTGTTCGTTTGGTTTTATTTTCATTTATTGTTGTTGTTTTAGTTTTTACTAATTTTAAAGTGAAAAACTGCATTGTTTTATTTTGTACATCTTTAATTGCTTGTGATGGTGAGTATTTTTTTCTGTGCCATGGGCCACGCTGGCAAGGTGTTTAACTATCAGGCAAAGGAAAAACTTTTCGTGATTTTTTTGCTCCAAGGATCTGATGGGACTGTGGGGCTTAAAGTTACCAAGCACTGAAAGTACTGCTGTGAGAGTTAAGTCAGGGTGGCAAATTGGAAGGTAAAATATGAATTCAAGCTGAAGCAGCGTAAAGAATAGCTGGGTATCCTTTCATATTGCATAAAGCCCTGTCTTTGACAGCTGATCCTGGCCATCAGCTTCTGGGCTGTGTGGGAAGCACTAGGGAGGAGCACCAGTTCTTCTTGTCCACTACTTGGGCCCAAGGCCCACCACAATGTTAAAGCCAGACCCCAGGGCTAAGGCCTGACCCCCAGGTCTGAGATGGCCATGATCTTTCAGGCAATGAGAACTCTGGCCTGAGCAGTTCCTTTGGACTCTTTCCTGAGTGCTCTCTTGTATATTTTGTATTCTGTGTATCATGACAGAGCTTGGCTTCTGAGTTTTCTGAATGAAGGGGCTTCCTGCAGCATTCTTACTTATCCAAGCAGATCAGGCACTCCTGATTCTCACATGAAGTTTTTGTCCAGGATGAAGATTCAGGGACTGAAGTGGGAGAAGGGGCAGATGAATGGGCCCAGTCCAAAGCCACGGTCAGACCCCCTGACCAGCTGGAGCTGACTGATGCGGTGAGTTAGCAGCATCTTATTCTTGCTCCTTCTACCTCCTCCAGCCTCAGAATGTGTTCTTCCGTAGTACTGATACGGCTTGCAAGAACCTGGGTGTCAGATGTCTGCTGACACTCTGGGTGGGGGGGTCCTCCCAAGCCTCAGAGTGGGATGGAGGAACTCCATGTATAACCCTCTTAGTATTTCTTTTCCTTAGGAGCTAAAAGAGGAGTTCACCCGAATTCTGACAGCCAACAACCCACATGCACCCCAGAACATCGTCAGGTACAGCTTTAAAGTAAGTCATCCCTGCTTTTCATTTGCTATGTGACCTAAATAAGTGCCAAACGCCAACCTTTTCTAGATTTCTGTGGTCCTCCTGTATGGAACAGGGGGATTGGGCATTTGGTGTCTCTAAGGATCTATCCAGCCCTGACATCCACTAAGTATAAGACCTGCCCTGTTGTGGTGACTGTGTGTGACCTGAGGTGAAAGAGGTGAGCCAGGATCCCTTGGCATAAATGTAGGAGCCAGTGATAGGTAACTCAAAGTTGGAAGCAGAAGATATTTAAAAATATGTCTTTAATGAGAACTTTAATAAAGCTTTATTCCATTTCCCCCCTCTTTTTTAAACTGGCATGCAGTGAAAATTTCAGGCTAACAGAGGATTTGGTGAGTTATGTTTCTGTTAACAGATAGGCTGTCTTAGGTCCTAGAGAGTTAAGACAGGCTACATTTTGACTCCAGCCCTTTTGAGGAACCCTGGTCTGACTCAGCCCTTTCTCTTCTTAGGAAGGCACATATAAGCTTATTGGCTTTGTGAACCAATTGGCAGTTCACTACAGCCAGGTTGGGAACCTGATCCCCAAAGACTCGGATGAAGGTCGGCGGCAGCACTACCGTGATGAGTTAGCGGCAGGTAGGCCTGTGGGCCAGCTTGAGGCTGCACTCTGGTCCCCTTTCTCTGGTTGCTCTAGGGAGTTGCAGAGTATCTACTTAGGTAAAATCCAACAGCTGGCTGTCACGGATAGATCTGGGAGCTAGCCCATGAGGCTCAGGCCAAGAAGAACCCTGGGGTGGGGGTGTGCCTAAAAGTCAGGAACCCAAAAGCCCTGCCCTGCCAGGGCATGGGGAAGTGAGCCTGGACTTTGAGCTCATCAGCAATGTCCTACCAAGGTTCACAGGAGTCTGCCAAGGTGGTGTTTTCAGAAACAGAAATCCTTGAAGAAGAAGAAGAGCCCAAGGAAGCAGAAACAGAAGCTGAAGCTGGAAGTCAAATGAATATACCTACAGCAGCGGTACAGTGTAGTACTGCTCTCCAGCCTGCCTGCCCCCTCTTTCCAGCTGTAGATGGCAGGCTGAGAGTGGGGGGAAGGGGGCTTTGGGGCTGACTCACTGTGGATGGGGCTCAAAGTGAGAAGTTAGAGGCTTTGGGTAGCAGTGTCTCTGGCATCGTGGCTTTCTCCCACGGCCATCTTATTCCAAGACATGTCTTTTCCCTACATTCCCAGTTCTCTACTACATTTTCCTCATGGCTGAGTCCTGGTCCTGTGGGTCTTTTTCTTCTCACCAGGCAGCTGAAAAAGTGACTGAAGAAGAACTGATGACTCCTAAGCAGCCCAAGGAGCGAATGCTCACCAACCAGTTCAACTTCAGTGAGAGAGCCTCACAGACCTTCAACAACCCTCTCCGGGTAGAGCAGCCCCTGCCCCGGCCCTTTTGTCTCCCGACTCTGCACTGTGTGTGGGAGGGAAGAAGCAGGCCCGACCCCAGCCCCAGCAGCCCTGAGCCTGGCTGGGCGACAGGGTAGATGCCATGGTTACTCTCTCCATGGAGAGCTGGGAGCATGTATTCAGGTCCCTGTGCGCCATCCAGGCAGGAGCTCAGAGCGAGTAACAAGGAGAACCAAGCCCTCCACCGAGACAATGAAACTTGAGTTGGTGTTGAAGAGGAGGTCAGGATCTAGGGAAGAGAAGGGAGGCCAGAATATGCTGGGGAGGTGGGGCTAGGAGCTAGTTTGACCAAAGGTGATAGTCTCTGTGATAGACTAGCTGGAAAAGGCTAGAATAGTTCCCTGGCTTCACTTAAGTATGAAGGACCATGAGTACGGGGCAGAAAGACCCTCTCAGAATTTCAGGTGAGAGACTCACATGTCTAAGGCCATATTCTACAGAAACGAATCTGTGAGTGGATGGCAGAGGTCTACAGGGTGGGTTTTTGACAGCTCTTTATCGCCTTCTGCAGTCCCTATGTTAACGTTTGGTAATCTGAGTGATACACACTGGGAAGGGAGTAACTTTTCCTGAAGTCAGAAACCCCAGTATGAGAGAGAAGACTTCTCACGGTGAGGGATATTAATTAGCCCAATGGCCTGTCAGAGGCTGACCTCTGGGTCCTGTGTCTAGAGGCTGGCCAATCAGTCTAGAGACTGATTGATTTCCAGCAGATTTGTCCAGCCCCACCATGGATTTTTTCTTGGTTGAAATTGGCACAATCAGGCTTCACAACCCCTGCTCTCTAGCTTAGGCTTTTTCTGAAGAAGCTTTTTCTGGAAAACGTAGGCTTTCACTGCATCATTTGGTCATTTTACTGCCCTGGCTCTGGCCCTGGTCCTCTTTACTTCCCCAGTTCTATGTTCCACCCCCCACCCCTCAGCTCCAACGGAAATGCTTCAGCAACATTATTATTGGGTTCAGTGAGACAGAGCTAAGGGCTTTCTGTAGGTTGCCTGTTGTCATTTTTCTCTAGGACCGAGAATGCCAGATGGAGCCTCCGCCCAGGACAAACTTTTCAGCCACAGCCAATCAGGTGAGCCAGTCTAAAAACCATCAGCTACCCCTACCCCATTCCTCCTTGTCTGACTTGGCAACAGGGGAGACTGGTGTGGTCAAAGAGGCCTCTGACAGTCTGCCCTCCTTATCCATCCACCTCCCTACTCCTTGTTCAGGCTCTGAACAGCAGGCATGTGAGACACTAGGTTCCACCCAGTGAGCTCTGAATCAGGCAGTAAGTCCTCACCCAGTGAGCTCTGGATCAGCCACATGCCCTGCCTTCAGAGCAAGGCTGATCAAGGAAGAGAGAGGTGTGACTTCTGGCAGGGGAGTGGGGGGACAATGGTGGCATTCTGTGGCTGACTCTGAAGTATTAACACTCTAACGCTGCTCTTTCAACAAACTCAGTGTTCCTGCTGACCTTCCTTCTTTCCCAAGTCCTACTGGATAGGCATGCTGATTTGAGTAGAATATGTGAATTCAGGCCCCAGCTCTGCTGCTCATACTGTAAGATCCTGGCCAATCCATGTTACCCTGAATGACTGTTTCTTTTTTCTGTCAAATGAGGACAACAAGTAGCCCAACAGGGTTATTGGAGGGCTCTGGATGTGGAGTACTGGTCCGTAGGTGCATTATTAAATGTAAGGTCTGCCTATCTGGCCTCCAGGTGGCAGTGACTGCCCAGCTCTGGAGAGCACATAGTGTGATCTGGGGCTTTTGTCCAGTCTCAGATCCTTGCTGCTTCCTATGCTGCTATCTTGGGCTTCTCTTGCTGTTAGATCTAGTTAGTAGAGTTTTCCTAACTTTTTGTTTATCTTTTTATACTGAGAATGTGTGCTCAGTGCTGTAAACAGCCAGCTTGAGCCAATAATTTTATCCTGTCTCCATGGGGGAAGTATTTTTTTTTTTTAATTTCCTGGTTCAGAGTTGTGTAAGTCACCAAGAAAAAAGTGAGCTGGGCTCATGTTTGCCCATTTGTTTTGCCTGGTGGAAATTGTAGGCTGAAATAATACTGATCTCCAGCTGACAACCAAGCCCCTGGGCTGCAGAGTGGAAAGACCAGCCCAGAGGTGCCCTGAAAGGTCTTTCATCCCATGGCTAGCAGGGAAGATAGATATTGAATATGTAATTACAGTAGACCAAGTACAAGATGATGTGACGGCCTGTGACAGGGGTTGGCATGATCAACTCTTTAAGACCTAAAGGCTGAAGGGAAGCTGGCTGGCTGAAGATTTTGCCCTGTATTGATCCTTCTGATTTCACCCTTGTCTAGTGGGAGATCTATGATGCCTATGTAGAGGAACTTGAGAAGCAGGAAAAGACCAAAGAGAAGGAGAAGACAAAGACACCAGTGACTAAAAAAATGGGAAAGATGGCCATGAGGAAGATGACATCTATGGAGTCCCAGGTTTGGTGAGGGTTACCATGGCTCTGTCACAGAGGATGACTGAATTAGACTTTGGTCCCTGGGTAGACATAAGCCTGGCTATCTGGGCTTCACAGACACGCAAAGGGTTGGGGGCTCAAGTTGAAGTATGAATAGTTCTTTCCTTGTGGGAAAATGTGAGAAGAGCTACAACTGCCTCTGGAATTCCACACCTCCCCCAAATTTTATATAAGTCTGGAGGCTAGTGGAGATTGAGTATTGCTGGGTTAGTAGGCAAGAGAAGACAGGAATGATATTGAAAGCCTGATGTACACCCTGAAAGATCTGGGGAGTCTTCTCAGGCTGGGGTGGGATGTGAGAATAGGGCACCCCCTCCATAGACAGGGGCTCATGCGGTTTGGGAGAGTGATTTGTTCTTTAGTCCTTGGGTTTACTTGAACTCAATTTTTTAGGTGAGTCTTGAGGGCCAAAAGCCAAGTCAGAGCTGATCACAGGTGGCAGCAAATCCAGGCCAATGAGTGTGGCCACTCTGTGATGGATTTACTATGAGGAACCACCTAGGAGTTGTTATAGAGGTCAAGGTTAGGGGGCTCAATGTTGATGTAGCCACATAGGTTTGGCCATAATCATAGAATCAATCATGACAGTGAGATGTCACAGCAGGGAGGTTCACCACAGGGAGATGTTGAAGGGCCACATTTGTCCCTTCAGTATAGAGAATGGGTCAGGAGTCAGAATCTCAATATGGAAATCAGGATGAGTTTTACCTGCAATAGTGTGGGAAGAAAGAGGTCCATAGGAAGCCAGGGTCTGGGTTCAGCACCTTGGAGAGCTCCCAAAAAGCTTTCAGGAAAGTGGTTCTGCTCCACCCTAGAATAGAAGCCAAGTGGGCTAAAGAAGTTTTGCTTCCTTTGCTGAGGTATGCCTGCTTCCACTCAAATGTGATTTTATTACGTCCCTGATAAAATCACATTTTAGGACCAGTTTAAGGATTCCTTGCTTTAGTGTAATAGATACTACCCCAATTCCGTTTCTTTTTTTTCTGCCTGGGTTCAAGTTCTTTTTTTTAAACTATATTTTATTGTTTATGCTATTACAGTTTTCCCTATCCCCCCCTTTATCTTCCCTCCACCCTGCACCACCCAACCCTCTAGCATCCCCTGCTTAGTTCATGCCCAGGGGTTGTAATATAAGTTCTTTGAGTTCTTTATTTCCTATTCCATTTTTGACCTCTCCCTGTCTATTTAATGCCTACTAATTATGCCTCTTCTCCCCTGTACCTTTTTCCCCTATTCCTCATTTCCTCTTCCCCACTGAAAACCCTCCATATGATGTCCATTTCTCTGATTATGTTCCTGTTCTAATTGTTTGCTTAGCTTTTGTTTTCGTTGTTTTTCTTTTTTTAGGTTCATTTGTTGATAGTTGTGAGTTTGTTGTCATTTTACTGTTTGTATTTTTTATCTTCTTTTTCTTAGATAAGTCCCTTTAACACTTCATGTAATAAGGCCTTGGTGATGATGAACCCCTTGAACTTGACCTTATCTAGGAAGCATTTTATCTGCCCTTCCATTTTAAATGATAGCTTTGCTGGATAGAGTAATCTCGGATGTAGGTCCTTGCCTCTCATGACCTCAAGAAGTATTTGATCATACTTCTTTCCAGCCCCTTCTCGCCTGCAAGGTTTCTTTTAAGAAATCACTGATAGCCTTATGGACACTCTTTTGTAGGTAACTCTTTCTTTTCCTCTTGCTGCTTTTAAGATCTTTTTGTCTTTAATCTTGGGTAACATAATGATGATATGTCTTGGTGTGTTCCTCTTTGGGTCTAACTTCTTTGGGACCCTCTGGGCTTCCTGGAAGTCTATTTTCTTCACCAGATTGGGGAAGTTTTCCTTTCATTATTTGTTCAAATAAGTTTTCAATTTCTTGCTGTTGTTCTTCTTCTGGCACCCCTATGATTCAAATATTGGAATGTTTCAAATTGTCCCAGAGTTTCAAAAGTCTCTCTTCATTTTTTTGAATTCTTGTTTCTTCATTTTGTTCTGGTTGGATGTTTATTTCTTCCTTTTGTTCCAAATCATTGATTTGAGTCCTGGTTTCCTTCCTGTCACTGTTGGTTCCCTGAATATTTTGCTTTTCTTTCATTTAGGATATCTTTCATTTGTTCTTTCATTTATTGACCAAGCTCAATCAATTCTGTGAGCATTTTGATTACCAAGGCTTTAAATTCTCCATCAGATAGGTTAGCTATCTCCTGATTGCTTAGCTCTCTTTCTGAAGTTTTGCTCTGTTCTTTCATTTTGGCCCTATTTCTTTGACCCTATTTCAGAACACCTGTTAAGTGGTAAGGGGGCGGGGCCTTAGGTATTCACCAGGGCAGGGCAACCCTCCTTACTGTGCAGCAGTGCTGCTTGTGGGGGAGGGGCCAGAGAAGGAACAATGCAGCTCCCCTGCTCTTCTCTAGCCCACTTTCCAAGGAACTCTCCTGTGAGACTGGGAGTTTCTCCCACTGTGGCAACCACCATAGTCTGCAGCCAGCTCTGAGTCTCAGTTTCCCCTAAGTCAGCCCCACCCACGCAGCCCACAGACTCTCTGCTGCCAACCTTGCCCACAATGTCTGCCGCCTCTCCTCTGGTTCTCTCCATCCACTGCCCTATGTTCTCCTCATTCTGTTTGACTGTTTCTTTAATTCCATGGTTGTTGGAGTTCCATGAAGTTTGATTTCCTGGCATTTTTGGTTGTTTATTGATTTTAGATTGTTTGTTATCCTCCTTTTAGTTATGCAAGAGAGCGAAGGGTTTCTACCTATGCCTCCATCTTGGCCAGAGCTCCCCTCTCTCAATTCGGTTTCATTCAGCCATAGACCAAGCTTTTGGTGGTCATGACCATACTGGATATTGGAACCCTGGAGTGAAAGATGAAGTCCCTGCACTGCATGTGGCCTTGTCCAGACCCTTGACTTTTGCCGCACCATTTCCTTAGAGGTTAGGGGCTTCACAGGGGCTGTCGACCTGGGTCAGGATTCACTTGAAGATCTATTATCAGGAGTTTGGCTATGGGCTCTGTGCTGAGACCGCTGTTACAGAACCCTTACCGGAAGGTGGTCAGATTGGAGAGGAAGTGGCTGTCTGTGTGGGGCTGGGAGTATGGGCCCTGGAGTCCACAGACTTGAATTTACATCCTGGCTTTGCCACTTATTAGCTGGGTTTTTCTAAAACATGTTTCCTCATTTGTAAAGACATCTAATGTATCTACTTTGCCAGATTATCATGAGAACCCAAGATAATGTATGCACAGCCCCTAACATAGTATTTTCTTGGTATTGATTGGTAGGCGGTGCCATACTACAGCTGATAGAGCTGAGAGGGTTCACTTGAAGAAGTGCTTACTCAGGGGATGAGTCCTTGTCCCCTACATCAGAGGAGCTATTACTAGACACAAAATTCTCTGTGGCCAGAGGACAGAGTTAAGACCATGGGTAAAAGACCCAGGGAGGCAGGTTTCAGTAGATAGGCTGTCTGACCACAGAAGATGCTGCCTGACATAGGGAGGTCATTTGCCAGGAGGCTGTTGAGGGGGAAGAATTACTGCTTTGAGCCAGGTAGTGGCAGCAGTAGCTGAAACTAGGTGAACTTTAAGGACTATGATTGTAGGATTCCAAGAAATGTCTTTGGTCACTTTTCTGAGATAAACCTGGAGTTAGTTTGAGACCTGACAAAAGGCTCTCAAAGGGCAGTTCCCCATATGTGACTTTATAAGCCCCCACCACACTGGTGTGCGTGTTTCCTCTGACACCACCACCACCATCACCAAGCAGGTACCAAGTTAACAATACCATGTGTGTTACTACATTTATTCCTACAATGGCCCTATGATGCCGGTGGTGTTATTCATCCCCACTGTATTACAAATACTCTAAGACTCAGAGAAGTAAGTAGCTTGCCCAGAGTTGCCACCTGGCTTCTAATCCATGGAATGTGATGGGAATGCAGGTCTGAGTGGCTCCAGAACCCATTCTTATAATAACCACTTTCTGACATTGCCACTCCTGGGAAATCTCATTCTTGAGAGACATGAGCCTGACTCTCTAGAGCCCCCTTGGATGGCTGTCCACTCAGCTGGTTCACTCCTGCCACCCACCCTAAATTTGTGGGCTTTTCTTGCCAGCCCCTAACATTTTTGCTCCTCTAATAACCTGCTAAGTGGTTCATCTTGTGGACTTATGGAATTTTCAGAATGATGATTTTTTTGTTCAAACTGAGTCATTTTTCTCTGACATGAAACTTCGTACTTTCTCTTTGGTCTGGCCAGTATGCAGGGCCCTGGATTGGGAGTCAGGTCTGCCTGTTACTCCCTATGTATAAGCAGGTCTCTCCCTCTCTGTCTTCTTCAACTTTTAACTAAATCTCTGAGGCCCTTAATGGGATTCTTCGTTATTGCCTGTGCTGGTGAAATCTCAGGTTCCCACCTAAGAAGCCTCCTACCTGCCCTTGTCTGCTTTCCGCTCTGGTACCCTTCCTGTCTTTAATACCATCTTGTGCTCTAAGACATGCCTTTTCCAGAATAAGCTCAGAATGAAAGAACAGAAATCAGGCTCTGCCCAGGAGCTATGCATGGCAGTGTAGACTCCTTGTGGTATTTGTGAGCTAGGCATTCCCAGTAGGGTGTGATGGAGTAAGCTGGGCCTGGAGGCATGAAGAGGTACCTTTACTGAACTCCCTGGGGTGGATGGTATCAGAGAAGCGTTGCTGAACCAGTTACAAGGCTGGGCTGTAGCTTGGGACGTGATCTTTCATGTGATGGCTTATAAGAGAAACTGTCACCTCTGCACCTCCACAGAGTGATGACATCACCAAAGTGACACAGGCTGCTAAAATTGTGGAGAGGATGGTCAACCAGAACACATATGATGATGTTGCTCAGGGTAAGATTTGAAATTCTGGCAACTACTATTATTACATTAAACTACTATTATTGCATTAAAAATCCCTTATACAAATTAGTATTTGAGTGTCCCATGTAGGTCCCATAGGTGCAAGGGGAGAACAAAAAAATGCCTCCTTCCTCTGGATATCACTATGGAGACAAGTCTTATACAGGTCAACCATTAGCAATGGCATAAGAAGAAATGTGTGTAGTAATGAGATCTGACAATGGTGCCGCAAAAAAAAAAAAAAAGAAAAGAAAAGAAAAAACACCTGCACATTAGTGAACTAATGTCATCTTCCAAGAATCCTGGGAGGCAGGCAGAGCTGAGATTATTAACCCTACTTCATTCATGAGGAAGCTCAGGCCAAGGCCACCTAATTAGTGAATGGCAGAGAGTATCCAAAACTAGGTCTTGAGCTTCCTAATTCTGTGCTCTGTTCTCTACTCTGTCCTGCTTGGGGACCATATAAATGCTAGGATGCAGACAGAAACTTCTCTGGAGATGCTAGAGAATGGAGGAAGGGAAATGCGGGATGAGTAGCAGCAGTCAAGGAAGGCTTCAGGGAGGGTTGAGCTTGATGCCAAGGGATAAGCAGAGTTTGAGTAGGAGATTAGCAGGAGAATGGGTGTTCTGGGCAGGGGACAGCATGAGCAGTGATCTAGTGGTGAAAATGAACTCCAGTGGACTGTGGGGACAAGTGGCAGCAGACTCAGTGACCCAAACAGGGGCTTTGTTGGAATGTGATAAGAGTTCAGTCTGGAGAGGTGGTTGAAGCCAGTTAAAGGAGGGACTTGAATGTCACACAGGAGATCTGAGCTTTCTCTGAAGACAGATCAAAGGCACTATCCGGGCTGGAACACAGCCCAGTGAGAGCAGGAATGGAAGAGAATGTGACTGGGCAGGATGCAGAAACGGGGGTGAAAGTGAGTTTCTGGTGCACGGTGGAGTGGGCCTCACCACACCTTGCCCAGACTGTGTCAAGGGCACAGAGAAAAGGAGCAGTCATTATAATGAGAAACCAGTTCCAGCATTCCCTGGGAATGGCCTATGTACCAGGCATTATGCCATGCTGTTTACATATGTCATTTTATTTAATCCTGACAGCCACAGTCTCAGGTAAACACTATTATTTTTTCCATTTCATAGGTGAGAAATTCAGGCTGTATTATTGCTACTTGTTCAAAACCACAGCTACTGTGAGGTGTGAGTGGTGCAATCAGGACTCAAACATAGGCCCCTTGGATCCATAGCCTGAGCACTTGAGCACGAGGTTGCAGAGCCACTGAGCTGGAAGAGGCATTTCAAATAAACATTCAATAGGTCTATGCTGGTGATTAATTAGTGATGAGGTGAAGAAAAAGACTGATTCAGAAACACTTCAATCCTGGGGGCCTGGGAAATTCTTTGACAGAGCCAAGAAAACGAAATCCTTCCCAGGGCATGAACAGTACATTCCCAAGTGGCTTGTATTTCCCTAAGAGGTTGTGCATTTATTTGGAGCAGCTGCGTCCCCAGAGTTGGCAGCTCCTCACTGCTGGCTGGTCTCCTCTGCTGACAGCCTAGGGCTCTTCTTGGTGACTTGATGTTCATTGCTCACCCATGGAACATAGAGACTGGGGCTGCCAAGACCAGAAGCCTAAACAAGCCCCCTTGTTATCATTCAGGCTGGAAAACGACCTTGAGTGCTTCTCAAAGCTGTCAAAAGTACACAGCAGCTCTGAATGAATTTGTCACTCACACAGCTTGGCTTCCTGAAACCCAGCCTCTGCAACCAGCCCCCCAAAGGGTGGCAAACATGATTAATATCCATGGAGAAATTGGCCTTGGTGAACCCTTTTCATTTATAAGAACACAGTCACATAAAAATTCATTGAACTTTCATTTTTTTTAAATTGCATACTCTCTTCCCTCTGGGAAAGTGTAATCACAAAGGAGAAGTGAAAACAGAGAAGTGTTACCGATTAGTCTCTCTGAAACGTGGCACTTTCAAAGACAGCTGAGCTCGGGGACCTCTGATGGGATCAAGGCTCATGCCTCTGACCACTCTAATTTTTTTTCTTTTAAGACAATTTTCGAGGTTTGAATGTGGCCCCACAGTCTCCAGGTGTGGACATCGTAAGAGAGGTTGGGGCCATGCCTGGACATGTCCTTCACCATGTGGGATGAAAGGATTAATTTTCTCATAGATCACCCTTGGTTGGGAAGAAGATTGAGAGTCACTCACTTCTGCCGATTGATTTCATTGCATTCTTTGAGTAGACATTGGTTGTTTGCTCTGTGGCTGACCCTGTGCTAGACACTGTGGGTCCAGAGATGATAGCATGTGCTTCCTGCTCTCTGGAAGCTGTCTGGTGGGGGAGACGAGCAAAGAATAGATAGAGGCAACACAGTGTGGCAGACGTTTCAGTACAGGAGAGGCGCAGGGCTGGAACGGAGGAAGAAATGAACTCTCCTCAAGAATGTGAAGTCCTCTTGGAGGAGGAGCAATTTGATGTGGATCTGGAACGAGTAGAAATATGCCAGGAAGACGGAGGAGTAGGACATTTTAGAGGGCGTGTGAACAGCTGGCCAAAATGACAGGGAAGTAGTGGCCTGGAGCCTTGGTTTGACAAGGGAGACCCTGTGCAGGGGAGCCATGGAGGGGTTCTCAGTGGGGTCAGGGAGGTATATGGTGAGGTGATTCATTTGTTCTCACTCTGGTAGCTCTGTGGGACATGGGCTGGAGGAGGAGTTACGGGAGGTAAGGAGACCAGTTAGGAAAATAGTGTGATGATCCAGGTGATGGCTGTTGGGCCCTGAACCTGGGCAGTGGCTAAGAGTTTGGAGAGATGTGAATGGGTTGAAAAGATAATTGGAAGCAAAATATGAGATGATGGAGAGAGATGAGTCAAGGGTTACCCAGGTTTCTGGCTTAGACTAGTAGCAGGATGGATGGGGCTTCCACTTAAGTCAGAGGAAATGGGAGGGAGGATAATTTAGAGCAGGAGATGAGCTTGAGTTCAGAGAACCCATGAGGGATCCAGGCAGTTTCACTATAGTGGGGCTGGGCAATGGCTATTAAAATGAGCAGACCTGAGATTTATCTGTGTAGACATGGCCACTTTATTGTAATTTACTTTCAACAACAATGACAACAGTAATAATAACATGTAGAGAGAGCTGCTTATGTGCCTGGTATTTTTCTCACTATTTTACATACATTAACTCTGTTCATCCTCACAAGAGTCGTTTGAGATGAAATACAGAAAGGTTAATTGTTTTGGCCAGGAGGTACAGACAGAAGGTGGCAGACATGGATTAGCCATAAAGTGGCAGTCCCAGGGCTGACAGCCTGTGTGTGTTTAAGATTTTAAGTACTATGAGGATGCTGCTGACGAATACCGGGACCAGGAGGGTACGCTGCTGCCTCTCTGGAAGTTCCAAAACGACAAAGCCAAGCGCCTGGCTGTCACCGCCCTCTGCTGGTGAGTATAGGCATTGAGTGTAGCAAACCTAGAGACCCTGAGTGCCTGCTGTTGCCAAGCCCTAAGCAGGGCACTTCTACAGGACTTAGCCACCTTGAGGGTGACATGGAGTATTATGAGAAAAAATGAGATGGGGATTCTTAGAGGATTGTAGGATAAGCCCATGTCTCTAAGCTCAACAGATGTCTGCAATGTAGATAGGCACCAGTGTTCATGGGAAGTCTCAAGTCCATGGGCGAGCCATATCCATTTCCTGGGCCAATGGGTTCATATTTCTTTTACAGGAATCCAAAATACAATGATCTGTTTGCAGTGGGACATGGCTCCTGTAAGTAATCTGCCGATTTATTTTTTTGCTCACTTAGCCAGCAAACACTAAGTGCCTATTCAGTGCAGAGTTCTTGGCCATGTGTGAGAGATACAGAGACGACTGACTAGGATGCAGCCACTGCCCTTGGAGCTCACAGCCAATTGTGAGGAGACCAATAATCACACCAGCAACTAGTGCTGCTAGGTGAAGAAATATGCCAAAATGAGCCTTGAAGGGGTTATTACGGAGAAGAAGGAAGGGGAGGTCACTTCTGGCAGAGAGATCAGCATAGGCAAAGGGCTGGAGGCACAAGAGATATGGCAGGAAATATGAGGGGCCAGGGTCAGCCCCCACAGGGCTTGGTAAGCCGTTACAAGAGGCATGGCCCTGGTCCTGCAGACAGTCTTCTGACCTTCTCCTAAGGGGGAACTACTGAGGGACAGGGACACGACCAGTGGAGGTGGAATTGCAGGCAAGAGACTGGATTTGGAAGACCAGTTAGGAGACTGGTGCAGGCATTCCAAGGAGGGATGCTAAGGAGGATCTGACCCATGACTGTGGAATGAGGGTGGAGAAGTGGGTTTGAGAAGCATGAGAAGATAGAGTGGGCAAGACCTGGGGAAGGACGGGATGGTGGGGGCTGAGGAGGTCAGTGTTCCTGACCAGGCTCTGGAGCAGGCAGGGGCGGGGCAAGTGCAGCCTTGGCCCCTGAGCCCTGGGAGACAACTGCCCCTTTCTCTCCCACTGCAGCAGGAGACAGCACTATGGTAACTGTGTGCCAGTTTGCTTTCCCTTCATGTTTCTGGGTCCCCACAGAAGCCCCCTACCTCCTTCCCCGGCTGGACGTTCCCCCTTCCTAACAGGAGAGGGCCCCACACTTCGCATTAGCCGCAGCTCCCTAGGCTAACAGCTTATTCTCTAGCTGGGAGGATCAGCTTCTGCAAACAGGAAAACCTCTCCATGCTCCAAGCTGCTGCTGGCTGGCAGGCTTACAAACTCCTGGTCTCTGCCCCTCAGACCGCCTGTCTGCCCATTCTTTGACCAGGATGGAGAGTCAGTGGAAGGGGAGGGCAAGGAGGAGTTGGTGTTTGTCATTCCTCTCAGGGAGGAGATCTTGGAGCTGCTCCCAGTCTCGTGGTTTGGGCTGCCTTTGAGGATGCCCTAAATGCCCGCTTTGTGTCCCTACTCCTGAAGGTGGGCTGCTGCCAAACTGGAAGCGCCCTCCCCCTCTGGCAGGGAACTAGCACATTCCTCCCCCTCTGTTGCAGCTACTGGGCCTGGAACAGGGCCTGGGGGCTGGGCAGGCCCTCCCAGGAGTGGGTGTGGACATGAATGGGTATGAGGCTGCTCTCAGCCCAGGCTCTCTGTCCAGGCCTGAGGTGGGGTGTAGGGAGCTCCCCAGCAGGTGGGAGGAGAAACTGCTTAGGCTCTAGCCCCATCTTCCTCCCACAGAGGGTCAGAATCAGGGTCGGCTGATTGGAGTCACGTAGAGACTGTCCAGGGAGCCAGCCTTTGACAGGAGCAATGGGGAAATGTAACCCACCCTCAGGAATAGATGACCTCAAGTCCAACAGGCCTAGCAGCCTCCTTTGGACAGGCACTTGCCTAGCTAGTGAAGGTCTCTTTGTCCTTTGTCGGTCCTTTCAGCCATATCTACATTCCTTAGAGGTGTTAGCCAGGGGCAAATCTTCTGGCTGGAGGGCCACTTTCTAGTGGTGTGACCTAGGACCGGAAGCCTTTCTGAGCCTTGATTTCCTCATTGGTGACAGGGAGAGGCTGTGAGGCACACTTACTTTAAAAAGCTGGGGGGGCGTGTTGCAAATGTGCCCTCTGAGCTGGACAATCACTGTTGATTTGGCTATCAGTCCTTCCCGTAGCTTTCCTGTAGGACCTCAGGGGACAGGAGGCTATGGGGGCAGAGGGGGATCAGATGAGGCCCCTACCTACTGTTTTAGAAAGCAGCGCCTGGTGGCAGTGGTGGCATTTGCTGTTGATGTCACTCACATGGGAGTTGCTGACTGGCTTTCAGACAGCCGTCTCCTCCCCAGAGCCCTGCCTGCCTCAGTACATCCCTGCAGGGGCCTGAGCAGAGCCCAGCAAGGCTGGGACTCAAAAGGGCCCCTGCATCCTAAGGTTGCCTCTGGAAGTCCTATGCTCTTGAGTGCCCAGGTGCCTCCCTGGAAAAAGAACAGAAAAGCTGAGGCAGGCCAAAGGCACTCCAGTTACCGGTCAGGGTTATTGTGAGGAGCAGCTGGCTCACCAGCATCCATCACACTGTCCTTGGAAGCTCCCAGCTGCTAGCCTTCCATCATCAGACTTTGCTTCATGCGAACAAACACTGAAGTGAGCATTTGGGTTTGCTGTTCGGTTTGACCCTGATAAGCTCAGCCCAGACCTCCTTTTGCCTGCAATTCCCATAAGTTTATTTTCTGACGCAGCCAAATAAGACTTTGGTAGGGGTAGCTATTTACCCTTGGGAGGATGGAGGCCAAAATCCCCCATTTTGGGGGACAGGGCAGGTTGCCTAGAGCCAGTCCAGGAGCAACCTGGTGGAAAAAAGGGAGTCCGGGCCATTGCCTGCAGCAGCACGGAAGCATTCACACCTGCCACCTCTCTGCCTCCCAGGTTGCATGCAGGGCAACCTGGGTGCCCCCTGGAGCCAGGCTCCATGTTCCCAGCAGAGCAGAGAAAGAGGCCATCAGTAGGCAAAAGCAGATGGAGGAATGTTGGAGGGCAGAGGTAGCTGGTCCAGGAAAGGGGCAAAGCTGGATTGCAATTATGTCGGCCTGCCGCACTGATGGGGTCCTTTCCAGCTCGCTCATTAGCCAGTTCATAGCATGGGAAAGGGGACTCCCTGTGGTCTGTCAGGCAGGGATGGTGGAACAGATCTTAGAAACTCTGTGTGGTCCTGCCTGGCTATCACACAGATCAAGAGGAAGCTTCTCAGCTGTCTCCTAGCCCAGCATCCCTTGGGGGCCACACCATCAAAAGGAGCCAAGGTCAGGCCCTGGGCCCCAGCACTAAACCCATTCCTGCTCACTCACACCACATCCTGGCCTGTTCTGAGCCTGCCCAGGCCACAGATACACTTGTAGGGATTTAAATCTTTCCTGATCATTTATTTGTCAGCTTCACTAATTAAGCAGTGTTAATTTCATTTACTGAAAATGGAAATTCATCTACCTCATTTCTCCCGGTTCATCCTCCACACACAAAATCCATCACTCCTCGGCTGCAGGCTGCGTGAAATTTACAGGACTAATTATGTTGTCAAGTCTCTTTGTAAATACAGTCCATAAAGGCCACTGTGCTCGCTGGGTTGTAGTGCAAGGGCAGTCCCGTTGTTAGTTTAATTACTGGTTAGTTATTTAGGTTCTCAAATGTTTGCCTCATTTTCCCTAAATCAAATTAAATGTCCCACTTGATGTAGTCTGTCTCCAAGGCTTTGCCCTTAACTTCCCACGCCGTTTAAATATGAATTCTAATTGGATGACAGTACTTGGAAAAGCCAGCTTCCTGGGAGGCTGGGCCATGCTGGAGGTTTAGAACCCTATAGCACTGATAGCCTTTTTTGGGGCAGCCTTGGAGTGGTCCCCTGCTTTGGGGGACTGTAAAAATTTTAATCCAAGAGGTATTTCTGTTCCTAGAGTCCAAGACGGTAGGGCTGGGGTGTGGGAAACGGAGAGAGGATTTCACTGTGGTCGTCAGAAGTGCCGGGGATCATTGCGTCCATCCCCCTGACTTCTAGAGGGACTGCTTCCAAACCATCCCAGGAACAGGTGCCATCTGTGGGGGCATCTCCCTCTGATACCTAAAGTGACGTTTGAGTCAACCTTCCCTGAAAGCCTACAGAATTAGTGTCCTATTCCCATTATAACAAATGACCACAAACAAAATGGCTTAAAACAATACAAATTTATTATCTTATAGTTCTGGAGGTCATGAGTCTAAAATGCATTTCACTGAACAAGAATCAGGGATTGTCTGGGCTTCGTTCCTTTTGGAGGCTCTAGGGGAACATCCATCTCCTCGCCTCTCCTTGCTTCTAGAGGTTGCCCGCATTCCATGGCTGTGGCTCCCTTCCAGCTAGTGATTACATCATTCTGACATTTGCTTCTGTTGTTACATCTTCTTCTCTGACTCTCCAGTCTCCCTCTTTCCCTTATAAGAACCCTTGTGTTACATTGGGTCCAGCCAGATAATCCAGGATAATCTCCCCATCTCAAGGTCTCTAAATTAATCACATCCTCGAAATCCCTTTTGCTGTGCAAAGTAACATGTTTATGGGTTCTGGGGATTAGGACATGGATATCTTTGGGGGGGCATTATTCAGCCCACCACAACCCCCTTCCATGTGCTTCTCGTATGACTTAATAAAGGGAGTCATTAAACAGCTGCTGCCTCAGAGTCAGCCCTGAACTGGACTAATTTGGGATGCCACAGTGAGAAAGGAGGGGGCCTGCTGTCCAGGGTTGGCATGGTGTCCTTGTCTTGGCAGCTTGTCATCCACTTCCCTTTTCCCACTGACCTGGCTTTAGCCTGATGCTCAAACATGCCTTCTGCCTGCCTTGCCTTCCCTGAATCCTGAGCAGGAGCCCAGGCTTCTGCTGGCAGCCAGAACTCTCAAAAGTGGCCTCCCACAATCTAGAGCTGTTACTTGCAGGGCAGGGGTAGAGCTGGGGGTGTTGAGGGCCCTGCTGGTGATTGCCAGTTGAAGAAAACATTCATCCATGCTCCTCACTGGGCGCCACTCTGCCTGGGCCCAAGCAAAGGGAACTGAGGGCAGCGAGAGGTCTATGGTAGAATTAAGACATCCCTCCCCCAGGACCATGGCTTTCTGAGGACTGCCAGATCAGGCTGTAGGAGGTGGTTGATTCTTCTCTTCCAAATCTTGTGGATCACTGAAGATCAAGTCAGAGAGGCCTTAGAGATTATCCAGCAGAGCAGGGTTAGCAGGAGGCAACCCTCCCACCCAAGAGGGCAAGCCTGCAGGGCCACACTGCGCCATGCTTACTCCTTCCTTTGGTAGAAGGCAAAGTGAAAGACCTGCTCTTCTGTAATAATGAGCTATACACAGAGGAGCTCCTCAAGGCGGGGGACTCTCAGGGGGAGAAGCTGAACAATCTGGAAGGCTTCCTGGAAGAGGGTAAAAGTACGAAGTGGAGGAGCCCTAAGGCCAGGCCAGGAGCACTTTCCCTGTCTCAGGGTCATAGACCAGGTTTTCTTTCTCATCGCCTTCCTTCCCTCCCTTCCTCTTCTTCTCCCTTTTTTCCTTCCTCTATTCCTCCTTCTCTTCTGCCTAGCCACACATACTAAAATCCTGTTGCCTGGAGGAAACTAGATTCCTTCTTTGGCACTAGACTTCAGTCTCTGCCTCTTTAAAAAAAGTATTGAATTTATTGAATAGGTCTCAAGTGTGCAATTCTATAATACGTGATCTCTATATTGTATTGTGTGTTCACCACCCAAGTTTTTGCCTCTTGATACAACAGAGTGTATCAAGGTCACTGGATTCTCCAGCCCTACTCTGAGGAGCCAGAGTTGGTGAGATTCTGGACAAAGTGCCCCAGGGCCCAGGGCCCCAGGCTCTGTAGCCTTGAGCCTAATGGAATTCTAGCCCTCACTGGGAAATGACACACTGCAGGTGACCTCTGTGCCAGTGTTATAGTGGGACTGCTGGTGACCTGGCTGGTGGCATCATACCAGGAATGTTGGGGGGCTGGGCGGTGGTGTCCGTAGGACTGCTTGGAGCCTGAGTGATGATATCACATGGGGGCCACCGGTGGTCTGAGTAGTGATGCTGTTTTAGGACTTTTAGAGGACAAGATGATAATATACTGGGACGGCAGGAGGTTTGGGCTGTGATTTCACATGTTGTATACTTGGAGAGTGGAACAGTGAGGTCTCATAGGGCTCACTGGAGTCAGAGATGAGATTATTATAGAAATAAGACATGGAGAGGAAGTTCCAGTTAAATGAGAGTTTCCTTTGCCTCCCTGGTGTAGTTTGACAGCTAGAGCTCTGAACTGGAATTCAGGAAACACACGGTCTAGCCATGATTAGAAAAGGTGATCATTATCACAAGACGGCTCATCTGGTTACAAGTAACAGAGACCGCTAACCCCAGGTTAGGAAAGGGAGGCTCACTGTCAGGATGCGTGTAGCTGGGGAACTAAGGCAGGATCTGAGGTCCCTCTCTCATGAAATCTATGCTTCTCTCTGCCAGAAGCTTCCTCTTACCCTGTTTGACCACCCTGTCCCTTACACATTCTCTCTGACTTTGCCAGTCACCACCACTCTATTAGGTCTTGTGCCCCTTCCCCTTCTTTACCTCCATGTAAAAACCAGATTAGTGCCATTATTCTGGGCAACCTTATTTCAGCCATAAACAGAATATTGGGTGTGATGAGCACCATGTGAAGGGTCTGATACACCTGGGGACCCTGTTTCCCCCCATCTGTAAAATTAGGGGGCCGTAAGGCCAGCTCCCAGTCCCAGTAAATGGGTCAGAGATGTCCTTACTACAGGTATGAAGCCAACTTACAGTTTCTGACCCTCCTTTCATGGTTTCACTGGTCAGGAAGACTCTGCACGCCTACAGGGGCAGGGAGTGCTTGCAGTTTGTCCAGAGCAAATAGGTCATCACTGCTTTCCCCCAAGGGACGAGGTCCTGTAACAGCAAGTGTGAAGGTCATGCCCACTTTGTCCCATCTGGGTCCTCAACTGAGCATCAGTCATTCACCTACCCACTCTTTCATTCACTTACCTGCGTGCCTACCCATGCACCCTCTGTCAGTCTTGCCAGCATTAAGGGCAGATTGGATGGACATTCAGGGCATCAGCAGCTCTCCTCTGGCTGGGTGGTTGACTGTGATTCTTCAGCAAGCACTTGCCTCACTCCGCTGCAGGCTCTGGCTCATGACTCAAGCTCCTGTCTTGAGTGGAGGCTCTCTGTCCCCGCCAGGGTCCAGCTTAGGGGGAAGCCCTGACCAAGTGCTCAGGATTTTCGTGATGAACAAAAGGAGCTACAAGTGACTGTCACAATGCCAACTTCAAGTCCTTCATGATCTGAGTGGGAAAGAGACTCCCTCAGCCAGCTGCAGATCTCTCCCTTATAAAGTCAGACCTTAGGTCCTACACTGGAGCCCCATGAAGGAGGTGCTGCCAGCCCTCCCCCCACCCCCACCTCAAGGCCAACTCCTTACTAGCTTTGAGGTATCACCAGGCTTTGAGATATCAGCATAGGGCCACCAAGATGGAGGGTGACTCCGGCCTTTTACCTGTTCAGTTCTGGCTCCTCTGACTTTAGAAAGGTCCTGGGCTTGTGGCAGGAGTGCTAGACGTAAGGGCTTGGAACTGGATTCTGTTCAGTGACTGCATTATCGGGATGGGCACTGAATGTGCAGAGAATGAAAGAGTGGGAGGTACACCCCTCACATGGGACAGGCAGGGAGGAGAAACCCTGCCACTGGTTTGTGGTTGATCACCAAAACCATACCCAGGCCAGAAAGATGGCACAGGGTTCTTCGGAAGCCTGACTAGCTGGCCTGCGACTTCTGGATTCTGGGAGCATGCCTAGACTTAGGGTTCAGGCTGCAACTGGGGATTGTGGGGTCAGCGGGTATAGGAAAATGCCCAGAGGTAGCTAGTTTGGGACTCCTGTAGACAATTTCATGTTAGCCCAAGCTGAACCCCTGTGCTTGGCTCAGTGGCTGGGAGGCACATAGGCATTATGAAGGCATATGAGGATAGCAGCTTGTCCCTGGTCTGAGCATCTGAACCCTCTCTGAGGATACTGCTCCTTCCTAAGCCCATGCACATTCTTCATGTAGCCACTTTTTGAGAGTCTGCATACCTCAGGGAGGGCTTTATTCACCCCAGGGAGAATAAGGAGAATGATGGTCAGTCCCTCAGATAAGCCTGGTCACCTTTACTGGTTGTTGGATCCTCCCATGAAAGGGTAGCCCAAGTTTTCTGATCCCATTTCACAGACAGAGAAGATGAAGCTTAGAGAGGAAGCCCACACTCTTTGGCAGAGGCGGAGCAGGGCAGGGCTTGTGCATCCATCGGAGAAGGGGCACGGGGGCTTCCTGGCAAGGCAGCTGGATTTCCAGCCACTGAGGCCCGTATTCCCTGGGGCAGATGACTTCATGAAGCAGAGCCGAGGCATGCTGCTGCTCTACAGCATGAAGAACCCCAGCTTCCCTGAGTACATCTTCAGCAGTGACAGCGGCATCATGTGTCTCGACATACACGTGGACCACCCATATCTGGTGGTGGTGGGCCACTATGATGGCAATGTGGCCATTTACAACCTCAAGAGGCCCCACTCGCAGCCGGCCTTCCGCAGCTCAGCCAAGTCTGGCAAGCACACGGACCCCGTATGGCAGGTCAGCCTCGAACCAGGAGGGGAGGTGTGGGTATGGATGAATAGTGTGTGAACTTGGGCGCCACTGGACAAGGGGCTTTGGGGAGGAGAGGGCCATAAGCAAGGGGGTGGGGATCACAGGTACCAGTGTAAAAGCCAAGGGGCTGGATTGAGAAGGGGCAGAGAAGGGCAGAAGGTGAGAATCCAGAGGTAAGGGGGTCAGCAGTAAGAGCTGGGTCTGCTGCCCCAGAACTCCATCAAACGGCCCATCTGTCTGATAATGTTCTCTTAGATGTGGTGATTAGTGACCCAGAGCCTGTGGTTAGAAGCCTCCAAGGCCTGAGAGGCCTCTTCTGAGTATGTCAAGGGCTCCGGTTCCCTGTCTGTGGGCTTCCTTAACTCCCCACAAGGCTGTCCTCTGCCATCTGGGCTAGACTTGGGGGAACTTGCAGACAGGTGTAGTTGCTGCCCATTTTCCACCCTCTGAGTGGGACTGTAAGTCCTGGCTGGCAAGGTCTGGCCCTGAGGCTTCTTTGTAGCACCCTTTTCCCAGACAGACATAGAATGGGACCATTACCTGGACGTCGGGTTTAGATTTCACCCTGTCTTCCATCTTACTGCACTGGGAGTGCATTTTGTTTCATGGTTTTACTCTCAGTGGCCCTGGCGTTGCAGGTCCTTCCTCACTATGTTCCAAAGGTCCCTTTCTTCTGAGTCCATGTACCCTTACCTCATGGGCAGGTCTGGGAGAATCTCACGATTGATTTTTGCCTCAAGTTGCCCAAGGCCTCTGGGCTCATCAGACAGCTGTCTCCTCATCTTCGTGGCCCCCTGGCCTGACACAGTCTGCACCCATCTCTTCTGGCCCTGAGGCCCCTCAGGCAGGTGGACACTGGCCCCAGGTGCTGGCTCTCAGCTCTCAGAGAGGCCTCAGCAGAGAGAGGACTCCACAGACACAGGGGACATGGTACTCTTTCAGCTTCATCCTTTACCCAGAGCAAGGGCAGACAGAGGGAGGAAATACCCCACCCACAAGATACCCTCCCCACTACTCTCCACCAAAGCGGGGCCAGAGTTCGCAGCCTCGGAGTTCTCTCTAATGAAAGCACCCCTCCCAGTTCACTGCCTCCATCCACAGATGTCAGGGATTGTAAAGCGCAGGAAGAGGAGAAAAGAGCTGCTTTGACAGGCCTGAACTAGAATTAGCCCTTAACCCCTGCTCTCAGAGAGTCAAGGGCTAAGGATGGAGCATCTCCCATTGGCCTGACCACCCTCCTCAAGCCCAGAAAAAGGCAAGAGACCAAGGCTACCGCCCTGCTCCTACTCTGCTATGTTCTCTAAATCAAATAGCAGGTTGGGAAAAGAAATGGGGCATGCAGAGGCCACACTGTCCCTCTCACTGGGCAGGTGCCAGGGAGACTGGAACCCATCTGGAGATGGGTGGCCTTCTGCTCTCCCACCATCCTGTCAGGAAAACAGAGCTGTTGCCTTTGCAGAACCGAAGACTCAGAGTTCTTGGCTGAAATCGTGGCTTGGGACATGGGAGGGGCTTGCCTGCCTGTCTCTTACTCATTTACTCACTTCCTGTTCCCTGCTTTCCCATATTTCCTGACCCCCTCTTCCTCATTCATCCATTTGATAACTCCTCCCTGTTTGTTCCTCTGGGAGCTGAGGATGCCTAAGGGCTTGGGCTCTGGAGTTCCTTGTGGGGAGATGACCACAGTCATGGGTGGAGCTCATGCTGTGGGCTCATGGGGTCACTGAGGAGGGGCACTCAGATTGTCTGGGATGGGGAGCAGGGCCAAGAGGGTCAGGGAGGTCTTTCTAGAGGAAGCAATACTTGAGCTGAATTGCAAGGGATGAGAAAGTTTGAGTTAGATAAAGAAGGATACAGAGGGGCCCCAGGGATAATGACAGGGGCATCAAGCAGAGTGGCCCACTGAGAAAACAGCACACCATTGGGAGCTCAGTGTGAGAGATCGGGAGAGGGAGCGGGGCCTGGAAAAAGCACAGGCCCCCAGTCCTGAGCTTTTTTGGGACATAGGAAGTCCTGTACACAGTCCTGTGCTTCTCTGGGACGTAGGAAGCTTGGACTTTGTAGGTCGGTGGCTTCAAATGAAGTGTTCGTATGGAAGACTGATGTGTCAAAAAGATGAAAGTGGAATTGTGCTGGAGTATCAGTGTCCTGCTTGTTTGAGGGTCCCCTATTATCACTCCCTGTGTCCCCTGAGATACTTTCCCCAGGCTCCTAAGATTTTCCCCTGGCATAGTTTGAAAATCACTGCCCAGCCATCAGAGAGTCTGGGACAGAGGAGTAACACAGTCATGTTTGTGTCTCGGAGAGTGCCATGTTCCTCTGGCTGCAGCATGAGAAATCTTGAAGCCTGAGCTAGGGCAGAGGCAGTGGAGAGAGAGGTGAGAAGACAGGGCCCAGAGCTGTCGAAGCAGTAAAACCGACAGAAGGAAATGACTGATTTCATACGGAAAAAGGAAGAATTGGTGATGCTTCCTGGGACTCTGATTTGGGGCACCCAGTAGGGCATCCGCGGAAGTGGGAAGCGCAGAAGAGGAACAGGTTCGGCCAGAGGTTAACATGGGATGCCAGCGGAGGTGTCCTATAAGCAGTTGGAGGAGCTCGAAAGAGCACCAGGCTGGTGGATGCAATGTAAGAGACAGCAGAGTCTAGGTCCTTCTCAAAGAGACGGTGTCTCGGGGGGACTAAGGAGGTTCTTTTGGATCCCACGTGCCAGGCTGGGGTGGGTAGATATTGTTCTGTTGGCAGCAGAAAGCTATGGAAGGTTTTGGAGCCAGGGAGCAAATTCTGTTCAAAGAGGACCAGTTCCTATCTCGTGACACAGGCTGCTTCCCCAGGGAGCCTGCCTGAGTAGCCCCACCCTGCTCAGGCCCCACCGTGAAGCCTCAACCAGCAACACTTTGATGGATGCGTGTGTGTTTGTGTGTTCTGTGCCACACCGGGAGGTGGCAAGAAAGACCCGTGAGCACAAACTGGGTCGAGCAGGTCTGCTCTAATCAGATAAAGCAGAAGAGAAGGAATCTGTTGGACAGCCTTCATCTCCTCCCTCCCTCCTGCTACCTGGGCATTATTCATTCTCCCAACCCCACTTACCACCTGCACCCCCCCCCACTTTATTTCTACCCTCCCACCTCTACCCCAGGAGCATGTGTGTGACTTGCACGCACACACATGCACACTGACTTGCAGATGCACACACCACCCCCCATTGGGCATCAGGCTGCTAAGTGGGGTGTGAAATACAATTTCCATGCATGCTGGTGGCTGCTCATTAAACACTTCCCTTAGCAGTTCCCTAGCGCCTCTTACAGCCTGGCCTTTGACACCCCTGTCCCCTCCCCCCTTTAAAGGGACTACTTTTACACAGAAGGGGAAGCGGTCTCAGCATCGGGGCCAGTTCTGACTCGTGTCTCACAGGCTCTGTGGTGGTCTAGGCCTCCTCAGTGAAAGCAGCTCTGATTCAGCGGGCCTGGGTGGTCGCTGGGGAGGGGCCACCCTTTCCTTCTTCTGGGCTTTCAACAGCCACGGTGACAGCTGTGGTTACAGGCAGTGGCACTGGGTTTCCGTCGTCCTCCCTCACTGGGCCCCTGCTCGTGACGGAAAGGGACTGTGGTCCTAGCATGGAAGTCTGGAGGGAGCAGGAGGATGCAGTGCTCCAGGCACCCAGCCCCTCCCCAGCTCTCTGGGGCATGCTTGGCCCGGCCTCCACATCTGGCAACAGAAATTTGAGCCTCAAGCGTGTCATCTTCATAAGACAACAGCTCTGTCTCTAAAACACTTTCCCATATGTTTGTGCCTGGCCCTAGGAAGATGGGTGGGGCAGGATTATTAACCCCAATTTGTAGATGGAGAAACGCAGCTCAAATTCTGAGATTTCAGAGGAAGATCCCGGGAGCAGGAACTAGTGGTAAAGTGAAGGTGGGAACAGAGGAAAGGTTGCCTAGGAAAAGGCTAAGCTTGGAAGAGGAGACTGAGGAGGGAGTGAGCGGGGAAAAGCCAGCTGCAGAACATGTGTACCCCAGTTCCTAGGGTGGTAGTGATAATGAGGACATTAGCTAACATTTATTGAACACTTAATGTATGCAGTATTCTGACCTACGGGCTTCACATTTATTATCTCCTTTTTTTTTTTTACAACAAACCTGTGCCGTTATGGTTCCTGTTCTATAAATGAGGAAGCTGGTCTATGGGCCCCGTCCTTTCCAGACTCCATCTATGTAAAGATGCTGAACCCAACCCAGGGAGGAGTTGGGCACCTCCACTGACAAGCCAGTGGATTAGGGCAGTGACCTGACTTGGTACTGTTGTCCCAGGATAGTCAGGGCCAGAGGGATAGGAGAGACAGAATTGGATAGAAGTAGGGAGAAAGTGGGGGAGGGGGACAGACGGAGGGAGGGAGAGAGGAAGGGTCAGTCAAGGGACTCTGGGAAATGGGCTTCCAGAACTTGCTTCTGAACCTCAGATGGGTTCTGGAGGGAGCCATGCTCAGCTTACAGGCCTAATGCAACACCACAGCAGAGTCCTGGAGCTCGCGGTTTGGAATGTTTCAGGTCAAGTGGCAGAAGGATGACATGGACAACAACCTTAACTTCTTCTCTGTGTCATCTGATGGCAGGATCGTGTCTTGGACGCTTGTGAAGGTGCCTGTTTGCCACAAAGGGTCATGCAGGGGTGGATGGGGAGCTGGGGAGGCTGAAGGGAAAAGGGACCCCCCAAACCTTGCTGATTCAGCCCAGTCCATGTGCCCTCCCCATCCCCTCTATGACTGCAGAGTGAGCTGGTCCACACAGATATCATCAAGCTGAAGGTGGAAGGCAGCACCACAGAAGGTCTAGAGGGGCTACAGCTGCACACAGTGGGTAGGAACCTCAGCTCACTCTCATCCAGGCCTTGCTACGGCACTCGCGCTTCACGAGGGTCAGAGATGGTGGCCCTTCCCAGTACTGAGTATTCCCTCCTCCACTTGTGCTGGGCCCAGGGCTGGAGGTAATGGGAAAGCCTGGCCCTGGCTGCCTAGGCTTTGGCCCTTTGCAGACCCTCCCTTTTCATGCAGGTTCCATCCCTGTTTGCAGACCCTGTTCCTGTTTATGCAGATCAAGTGCTGTTATGCAGATCCAACCCTGTTTATGTAGATCAGGCCCCTGTTTACCCAGATTCTGTCTCTGTGTACTCAATCCCTACCTTGTTTATGCAGACTACATCCCTGTTTGCACAGACCACATCCCTGTTTGTAGACCCTGTCCCTGTTTACCCTGACCCTGACCCTGTTAAACTCAATCCCAGCCTTGTTTACCCAGGCCCCCATTCCTGTCTGCAGAAGCCCTGGCCGTTTGCAGAGTCCCAGTTGCCTGGGACCAGCAGCAGGCTGGAGGGCTGGTTTCTGTTTGCTTGGCTGGCCACACAGCCTTCTCAAGGGCTGGTCTCAGGCTTTCCCCCAGGGCCTGCTACGGAGGGGAGGTGCTGCGAGCCTCCTGCCCAGGACCCTGCTAAGATTTCTCCCTCTTCTCCCAAGGCTGTGGCACTGCTTTTGACTTCCACAAAGAGATCGACTACATGTTCCTAGTGGGCACAGAGGAGGGAAAGATCTACAAGGTGAGGCCCCGTGCCAGCTCCTTACAGGGTGGCTTAAGCTTGAGTACCCTGGGAGCTTATTGTTCTCAACAGACCCTGTTCTGACAAACCTTAGCTGCTCATCAGTTCTAGAAGGCTTCTTAGGGGAAGAGAGTATTTCTTGAACTTACTGGGTAGCAGAAAGAGGGACTAACTGCAGGAAAGGGAAGGAAGAATCTAGAGCAGTGGTCCCCAGCCTTTTTGGTACCAGGGACCAGTTTCATGGACTGTTTTTCCATGGACAGGGTGGGTGGGAGCAGAGAGAGATGGTCTCAGGATGATTCAAGCACATTACATTCAAGTTCACCTCCCGCTGTGGGGTCCGGTTCCTAACAGGCCCTAATGGTACTGATCCTCGGCCCAGAGGTTGGGGATCCCTGGTTTAGCCCAGCATCTTTCCCTCAGGACCTTCCCTCCCTTCCTGGGAGTGGAGGAGATAGAGGTGGGCGTGGGAGTTGGGGGAGTTGGAACAGTCCAGGAAAATTTCCTGGAGGAGACAGGAACTTGAGGTGCGCGTTGAAGGCCAAGAAACAAGAAAAATTTATCTCTGAATATCGGGCACATCCCAGCTGGCAGGCTGGAACTTCATGGTCGCTTTCTGCAAGGTCTCAGTGTCAGTGGGTGAACGTCCTTCTGAACCTCTCCATCCACCCAGAAATAGCTCTACTGCAAGCTTTTCCTAGGCTCAGAGACACAGAATGTTAATTACAGGCGGCCTCCTGGGAGCCCCTGAGGCCCAGCTAGAGCTGGTCTGAATGCAAAAGAGGTTCCCACCTCCTCTCCACCCCTCCCAGTGGTGGCCCAGGAGAGGCTGCAGGGAATAAAATTAGTCAGTCACAGTGTCTCCTGGAGGGAGGCTGTAGGGGCGTGCTGGTCAGGGCCAGAAACGGAATGGCAAATTATGAGATTGGGATTTGCTCCCGTCTCTGCACCTGCTCTTTATTTACCTGGGCGAGGTGAGAGATTTAGCAGTGTTGCCAGGATTCTGTCTGTGGGCTATGGATGGACCCAGGGCTCTGTCTGTCTGTCCATTGGCCTTGGCCTGGACACAGGCTAACCACATCTCACCCAGGACCCCAAGACCTACTCTGCTTTGGCTCAGAAAGTACAGCCCTTTTCTCTCTGGCATGGAATCCTCTAGGCAAACTACAGCACTTTTTCTCACCCTCCAGGAAGGCTCCCCTTCCCGCCCTAACTCCCAGGCCCCTAAGCCCCTCCTTTCTCTCCCATGTGCTGTGGGGGAGAAGAGCAGCTAGCAGCCTGGCCCCAACTTCCCTGTGACAGTGAGGTGGAATGAGAACAGAAAAGTCTCAGCTTCTGATCCTCCAGGGCCCCCAAGGAAGTGGTGGCTGTTGACCTCTTTCACTCCTGACCTCTTATCCCTTACCCGACGCCCAGTGCTCCAAATCCTACTCCAGTCAGTTCCTGGATACCTATGATGCCCACAACATGGCAGTGGATGCTGTGACCTGGAACCCGTACCACTCAAAGGTCTTCATGTCCTGCAGCTCCGACTGGACGGTGAAGATCTGGGACCACACCATCAAGTAAGGGGCCCACCCTTGGCCCTGCCCTCCTTCAGGCCCCACCCTGGGGTGGGCCTGTGGGCTCTGGCACTGTGAACTCTCTATGTCCTGAACTTTCCACCCCTCCACCACCGCAGGACCCCAATGTTCATCTACGACCTGAACTCGGCGGTGGGCGACGTGGCCTGGGCGCCCTACTCCTCCACTGTGTTTGCAGCAGTCACCATCAATGGAAAGGTGAGCGTCCTCTTCCTACGCTGCCAAGCCGCTGCTAGAGCGAAGAATGCGGTTTCCCGGGGTCTTCCTCCTGGAGAGCACGGGCCAGGCTGGGGAAGACAGGAGGTGACGACTGTCTGTGTTTTCAAGGGCCAGGCCACCCAGGGCCCTGTCAAAGCTGAACTATTCATCCCATGAGCCCCTGAGGAGAGAATGGGGCAGTTCCTCTGGAAGGAGAGAGCACTCTGGGGGATGAGATGCCTCGAGGAGCAGTTATCTTCTCTGAGGCACCTGGGGTGGGAGCTACAGGGTGGCAGCACCAGCCTGACCTAAGGAAAAACTTACGAGTCAGAGTTGATCTGTAATTAAAAGAGTGTCTAAAAGCTGGTGAAGTCCCCTTCCCCGGAAGTGTGCAAGTTGAGTCTGAGAAGGGGAGGTGGGCGTGGCCTGTTCAACATTGAGAATTGGTAAAAGCTCAGCAAAAAATATTTGTAAGAAAATTCTGAGTTGCGAACCCATTTTCCTTGTGGGCTTTGATATAAAATGTGAGGCACTTACCCGAGGAAAGACTACAGTGATTAACACATCCCACTAAAGTCAGTCAGTGATCTACCTGCTGAACAGATGCTTACTGAGGGTGAACTATGGCATCCAGCTCCAGGCTAGGGCCTGGTGATTAGGGTCCCTGCTCTCACGGAGCTGATATTCTAGGGAAGGGAAAGGGACAAAAGGCAACAATAAAATTCGCAGTATTAAGTTTGGACGTAAATGAAAAGAGAATGATGTGCATACAGCCCTGACAGATGTGGCTTAGTGGGTTGGGTGTCATCCTGCAAATCAAAAGGTTGCTACTTAGATTCCTGGTCAGGGCACAGGCCTGGGTTGCAGGCCAGGTCTCCAGTTGAGGGTGTATGAGAGGCAACTGATCGATGTTTTTCTCCCTCACTTTTTCTCTCCTTTCCCCTCTCTCTAAAAATAAATACATAAATCTTAAAAAATAAAAAACGAATAGGTACATACCAGTGTTCATAGTTGCATTATTTCTGATGGTGATCAGAAGGTGGAAGGAACCCGAATGTCCATCAGTTAATGAATAGATAAACAAAATGTATGTCCAAAAGGATTATTATCCAGCAATAACAAGGAATAAAGTACTGATACCTGATACAATGTGGATGAGCTGTGAAAACGTGCTTAGTGTAAGGATCTAGTCAGAGAAGATCACGTTATATGATTCTATTTATATTTGTCTAAGTAGGGAAATCTGTAGAGACAGAAGTAGATGTGTGATTGTCCAGGACTAGAGGGGCAGTGGGAGAAAACGGAATGACTGCTCGTGGACACAAGGGTTCTTTTCAGGGTGATGAGCATGTTCCAAGATCAGTCGTGGTGATGGTTGCATAACTGGATATACTAAAAACCAAGAATTGTGTACTTTATATCTCAATAAAGCAGTTTCATTTTTGAAAGAGAGAAAGAGACTGATGTAAAAGAAAAGGACTGGGTGGTCTCTTAGAGTGAGTTGTCAGAAAAAGCTTCCTCAGAGAGGTGATATTCAGGCTGAGAGCTGAAGGAGAAGAAAGAGCCAGCCACGGGAAGACGGGAGTCAGCGGTGTTCCGCCCATGGGACAGCCACTACAGGTGCCCGGAGGGGAGAATGAGTATGAGATGTCTGAGGGATAGTCAGGTGGGTGTGGCTGGGGTCTGGCGAATAAAGGGAAGAGAGTATGAGATGAGAGTGGAGAAGCTAGAGCAAGGAATTTGGATTTTAGGGATAGTGCCGAAGGGCACTGTTGGAGGACTTAAGGAAAGTCTGGCAGCTACGTGGAGGATGGATTGTAGCAGAAGGGCAAGCATGGGAGCAGGAGGTCTAGTTTGGACACTGACACAGTTGTCCAGGCAAAAGTTGCTAATGGTCTGGACCTACGGCATGGTGAAAAGAAGAACAAACATCCGCCGAGCACTCATGTGACAAGTGCTATTGGAATACATTACACATATTAACTGGAACAAACCCTGACTCTGACACTTACTAGCAAGGTAGCTTTAAGATCCTCTAGCTCCTTATTTATAAAATGGAGATAATAACAGAACCTACTTAATAGGGTGGCTGTGAGGATTATAATTAAATAATACAACCATATACCTTGCTCGCCCAGAGTCTAGTACATAGTTAAGTGCTCAATAAATGGTAGCTGCTATTATTGTTAATTATGCATAGACTTAAATTTTCTCCCAAACTTTTTATTTGCATTTTCTCAACCACAGGAAAAACATAAACAGAGACATAAACCCCCTCTCTACTGCCTCCACTTACAGTGTGCCAGGCTCCTACTGTATTCCCCCCAAAAGCCTGGGGGCAGCTCCTCTGAAGCCTCCTTAGCCCCAAGTGTGCTGACCCCGCACCTCTTCACAGACCCACGTGTTTGACTTGTCCATCAACAAGTACGAGGCTATCTGCAGTCAGCCTGTGGTGGCCAAAAAGAAGAACAAGATCACCCACGTGAAGTTCAATCCCATCCACCCCATCATCATTGTGGGCGATGACCGTGGGCATGTCACCTGCCTCAAACTCTCACCCAACTTACGCAAGATGCCGAAGGTATGCTTGGGGAGTTTGGGCTACCAGAAGAAATAGTCTCCACGGTAGTGGGGTCTGGGAGAAATGGGAGGGGCCAGGGGGTGGCCCCTAGGTTTGTGGCTTGAGAAACCCAGGCTAAGAGTGACATCATAGCCCAAATGAGGAGCCAAGGAGAAGCAGGTTTGTGGGGGGACAATGAGATCAGATTGTATATGCTGAATCTGAGTCCCTATGGGACCCCCCTAGGTGAAGGTACTCGGTGAGTAAGGTGACCATATGGGTCTGAAGGCTGGGGGAAGCACGCAGGCAGCATTGGCTTATTTGGTACAGACCAGGTCACCCCAGCAGGGCGCATGGGGCTTAGTCACTGCTTCACTGGCTGGTTTTACACAGGGCTTCAGCTCAATGGTCCCTCAGCTGGGAACTGTGGGTCCACACGGGGAAGAAGGAAATGAGCCTGAGCCATGAGGTGGAGAACTGGGTCAGCAGCCAGGCAGTCCTCCTTTTGAGCTCTGGTTCTTTTCTGAGATCTCTAATGATCAGGAGACTCTGCACAGAGCCCAAGGGCCCCAGATACAGGCCACATGATCCAGAGTCATGATCTCAAATTCCAGTCCTCAGAGTTTAGATTCAGACTTAAGAACCCAGGCCTTAAAATCCAGAGGCCAAGGGCCCAACTTAGAAGTCCAGAGTCCAGGAGCCCAGATTCAGTTTCTGTCCACTTGGTTGGTAAGAGAGGAAATGGAACTTACTTTCTGCCAAATCCCGGGCCAGGATTGGAGCTGGGCCAGGGCTGGGTCAAGTTGCCCTAAAGACTGTACCTCGTAGTTGGCAATTTGAGGTATTTACTGCAGTTTGAATCAAGAGCCCTTCTCAACAACTGACACCCACCCTGCTGCACCCCTGGCAAGAAAGGAGCCACTGCACCATCCCTCTGGTGCTGGCTTACATGGCCAGGGAGGCAAGGGATAGGAGTTTGGCGGGGTCCGTGATTGTAGCCAGCTGGGGGAGGGGGTGGACTTGGCTATAAATACTCAGAAGGCTGCTAAGCGCCTGCAGCTGTGGCCCAGAGGCTGTGGTGGGCTGGGACTGGGGCTGGGGGTAGGGTGGGGTGGTCGGGTGTGGTCTTAAGTTCTTTGCTGAGCCCAGCTAGTTGGCCTCGGGGAGGGGGAAAGAGGCAGCACAAAGAGTGGAACAGATAAAATCTGCTCTTAATTTAGTGAGAGAGAGGCCGAGGCCTGAGCTGGCAGAGCTGGACAGCCCGGCAGGAGGCATAACGGTCACCTCTTGGGGCAGGAGCACAGCCCTCGTGATGTGGGGGCAATAGGTCTCGGTGGGACATGCCCTGCCCACCCTGACCCAGGCAGGCAAGGATCTCCCACAGTCAGTTTCATTTATTATCCTCTCAGAGCCAAGGTCAGTCATGGCTGGGAGAGCTGGGCTCTGTGTATCTGGTAACCTATGTCACTGAGGACCTGAGGACATGGGCACCTTGGGATTAGAGGACCTGAGCAAGTGACAGCTGAGAGATGATACTTGGGTGGCTGGGAGGTTCCAGTGAAATTGCCATCTGACCCTATCAGCAGCCGAGTGCTTGGTGCAAACAGAAGTCCCTGGTCATCCCCTCCTGGCCTTCCCAAGTGGGCTCAGCCACACAGGCCTAACTCCCAGCCCAGGGCTTCCCTGGGAAGTTTATCAAAGATCAAGGACTATTTAACCCTAACTACTGTATATGTACGTGGGACGTTGAAGCTCAGAAAAGCAAGGGACTTGCCCAGAGTTGTATAGGGGGTTAATGACAAAGCTGGAATTAAAAGCCAAGTCCGCTACCTCCCAGGGGATGGGATGAGGCCAAGAAGAGAACATGAACTTAATTTGGGAGGGATAGAAAAAGAGGCATCATTGTCCTCTGCCTCTAGAGTATAGAGGTAAACTGGGCAGTGGGAAAGGCACTGGCCCGCAAGGGGAGGGGAGACACATTTGGGAGCAGGTGCAGGGGTCACACCAGGAGGAAATAATAGCTCTGCATGATGTCAGCAGCTGCAATGGGGCCAGGAAGGGGGCTGCTGGCCTTGCACTCTCTCCCACCTCATGGCCCAAGCCAGATCCAGGCTGGGCTCTCAGCAGGCAAGGCTGGGGCAGTGCCAGTGAGCAGTGGGCACAGGTGGCTGAGAGGGCAGGAGCAGAGGGAAGGCAGGAAGTGGCAGCTGCACCAACCTAGCCCACACCCCAGTGCCTGGGCAGAAGGGGGGACAGGACTGGTGCCGGTCTGCCAAGGAGCTCTCGGGGCCTGTGAGTGACACACACAACAGTGTTCCAACTGTATCTCAGGGCCTGGCCTATGAGCTAAAACATTAGAGTGCTCTGTAGGAGGGAGTGAGGGGCCACGAACTCAGGATCTGCTCCTGGAAGGAACGGGCCCAGCCAAGGACCTGTAGAATCACGTAGGAATATCCCACCTGCCCTCCTGGCTCTTCTGACACCCTCCCCCAACCGTGGGTGTGTCTGACACAGCAGGCCTGGCTCTAACTGGCACACTGCTACCAACCTGACCTAAAAGTATTAGAGTACCAGGTGAAGGCACTTGTGTTTTTTTCACACCCCCTCCCTCACAACACTTACCTCTTAGCTCCTTGTTAGAACTCAGCCAGGAAACTTCCTGCGGGAAGAGTGGTCCCAACAGTCAGAGGCTCCACCTCTCCCAGGGCTACAGTCCCCCTGGCTTGAAAGGCTTGTTCCTCTGCGGGTCAGTGGAGGGCGGGGAACCCTCCCTCGTTCCTCTCAGCATCAATACCCTATGTCCATTTGAGGTTCAGAGCCAGATCTGGATGCTCCTTGCAAGCCTCAATCAGGACCGTGTCACCTGTCCTGAGTTGGGGGAAGGGTCAGGTAGGAGTGGGGGAGGCAGGGACCTAGAATCTGACAGGGCAGAGTACAGCTGGGGCTGGCTGCACAGAGGAGGTCCTGGGACCCAGAGAAGTGGCCCATCCCTCACTATTCCTCCCTTTGTCCTTCCCTTCTCCCCAGGAAAAGAAGGGACAGGAAGTGCAGAAGGGTCCAGCTGTAGAGATTGCAAAATTGGACAAACTGCTGAATCTGGTGAGGGAAGTAAAACCCAAGATCTAAGGGCCTGGCCTCGGTCCCTGTCCTATTTATTGAACCCTGCCCTTGTAGCCTCTGACCCTGGTACCAAGCCCATCCTTAGCACCTAATATATGACCCTGTCCCTGATCACGTCCCAGCATTTGCCCTCAACACCTGCTCCAGCCCTGGTCCCAGCACCTCATCCCAGGACTTGGTCTTGCATCACCACTATCCAATCCTACTTTGCACAAATAAACCTGTGTCTAAAAGCCCACCACCGCCTTGAATTTTGCTATTGCAGGGCCCTCAGGAAGAGGAGAAAATCTCAGGGTATAGCCATACTTCCATTTATTATCCAGCAAACAGTGGGAGGACCCGAGGAGGGGCCCAGCCTGGACACCCTCCCATTATTGCCAAGGATTCCAGTTTGCTTCCCCAACTGAGAGGGCCTAGAGGCGCTCGGCCTAGGGAGAGGGTGGACCCAGCCCCTGGCCCTTGGGATGGAACAGAGTCCAGAAGGCCCAGGCCCTAGCACCAACTCATAAACCCCCACCCTGGGCCTGACTACCCAGGGCCACCACAGCCCCTCCTGGAGCCAGGCTGGCTAGACTCTGGCCTGCTGGGTCTGGCTCCAGACAGGCTGGATTCTGAGTTCTGCAGCCCAGGCTCTGGATGAAGTGGGCTTAAGTCCCAGACTCCAGGCTAGGCCAGGGGCCTTCAAGGCTGCAGTAGGTAGCTGCCTTCATGGCTGGGCTTCTGGGGCGGGGGTGCCTTCTCAGGACAGGGGCCAGGGCTGGAGTTGGGACTGGATTCAGAGAGCGAGTCAATGTCGGCAGAGCGGGAGTGGCAGGCCCAGCAGAGAATGACCCAGAGCAGTAGCAGCAAGAAGCCTACTAGGCCGTTGCAGACGATGGCGATGAGGGCGCCTTGGGAGATGGCTGCCCCCATGACAGGCCGCACCCTCAGACCAGCACAGGCAGCGGGGTCCACAGCGGGGCTGCCTCAATGGCAAGGCCCATGCCGAGGCGGGACTCTGGTATAGCCGGCCTTCCAAGGAGGCTGTCCTGTCTGCACACTCAGTGATTCCTGGGCAGTAGAGATGTCCAGCTGCAGTCCTGAGCCTGTAGGGGGTACAGAGTAAAGGAAAGGGTGGTGAGGAGAAGGGATAGGGTAAGGCCTAGGAGGAGAGAAGGAGAGAAGAGAGCCCACACCCCATGCTCGGGCCTGGCTCTGGGCACCTGGAGTGGGTCTAGAGCCACAGTGGGGAAGCTCGAGTAGGCAGCCTATATTTCATTCTCCTTAGAACAGGTGGGCATGTTCTGGCCCTGCCTGCCCAGCTTCCAGCCCTCTCCAGCACTCAGGGAGTGGGTGGGACCCAGGGAGCCCAAACCCTGGAGGATGGGATTGTGACCAGCTTCAATGTGACCTGGGCACCTCCCCACTCTCCCGACTCCAGCCAGCCAGCCAGCCCAGGAGACCTCCAGCGAGGCCAGCTCACACAGAGGAAACTTTGTGGAGGCCCTGGCAGGCATGTGTGGGTCTGTGTATCCACCGCCGTGCACCTAGGCGTGACCTCTCTGTGGGACTGTCTCTCCAGGTCAGGTGCATGTCTGCGTGTCTCTCAGTTTCCTTGACTGATGTGTGCATCTGCCTCAATACACTCTCTATGTTTGTGTAGCTGTCTGTGTCCCCCATCTCTGAGTGTGAGTGGTTGTATGTCTCCTTTCTCTCCCAGTCTGTCTCTTTGTATATCTCTGTATCAGTCTCTGTCTTTCTGTCTCTGTGCATATGGGTCTATCTCTCGCTCCTTCTTCATGGCTGTATCCCTCTGTCCCCATAGACGTGTCTCTCTTCCTTTCTCCGTGGGGTCTGTCTCTGGTTCTGTGGGTCTCTTTTGTGTCCGTCTTTGTGTCTTTCTCCCAGTGGTGTCTCCGTGTTGGTCTTTTTATCTCCGTCTCTGGGTCTCGCTGATTCCCGGCCCCCGTGTCCGTGGGAGAAGGGCCCCCTTACCTGAGTTGAGCCCGGTGCACTCCCGCCAGAGGGTCCAGGGCAGCGAGATGCTGGGCGCCTACTGAGGCTCGGAAGCCTGCGGGCGGGGGGCGCGGGAGGCGGGCCGGGGCGACGTCCCCTCCCCCGGCCCTCCCCCCTCAGCCGCGCAGCCTCCGCCGGCCGCTCCCGCCGCGGCGCGACCGGGGCGGCCTCTGCCGCGGGCGGTCTGCAGCGAGCGGGCACCTCCTCTCCCTGGGGCGGCGCCTCCTCCGCCGCCGCGGCCGCTCGCTCACTTGCTAGGCGGCGCTCGGGCCGCAGCGGCAGCGGCAGCCGCAGCCGCGACTGCCGGGGCGCGCAGTTCGGCTGGGCTCGGAGGCGTTCGGCTGGACTCGGCCAGGTTCGGCGGATGGCAAAAACAGCCAATAATCCCGCCTCCCCGGCAGTCGGCTGCCTGCGGCCAGTGAGGGGCGGAGCCATTCCCCACGCCGCTACCGCCATTCAATTGGCTGGTTGTTCCAGGCTCACGTGCCATTGGTCGTGTGCTGGGTGGGGACTGACCCGCCCCTTGTGCTGGCGTGGGGTGGGGGTGGCAGGAGAGCTGAAGGGGCTATTCTGTTTTGATGCTTGCCCAAGGGGAAGGGGGCGGGGCAGCGAGGGCTACCTACTTGCCCGGCTTTCTCAAACCTTTCACACCTGGGAGAGCTGTACACTCAGCATCTGAGAAAGGCCAAAGCCCTTATACCCCCATATCTGAGGGGCAGCTTCTCCACATTTGATAGCGGTCTCTGCATCCCTACATTTGGGAATAGACAACCTCTTCATCTTGAAAATTCCGTATACTCCCTGACGTCCACTCCCACCTGGTTGTGGAGTCTGCTTCTTCCCTAGAGAGGGTCTGTAGTTGGCTCTACATTCCCTGGCCTCAGGAGGTGTGAGCAGCTCTGCCAACACAAGTCCTTTGGAGATAGTCACTGAATTCCCACCCAGTGGTTATTGGTCAAGGTTTGTGCTTTATGCTGCCATGTGGGAGCCATGGAGGAATAGGGTACCCTGAAGGATGGCTCAGCCCTGGCTAGAATAGGCATGACTCCATCCTAGAAGCTCTCCCAAGGGGAAGATTAGCTTGGGCAGGGGCCATCAGGTAGGCCTTCCTACCCTACCTCATATTCTTAAGTGTTTTCAAATGGACCCTCTTCTCATCACATTCTCCATGTTTTCCATGGACACGCACATCCCTGAAGCTGTACCATGAAGACAATGCTCCCAAATCCAGCCTTACCTTTATATTTAAAGATTTTATTTATATTTAGAGAGAGAGGAAGAGAGTGAGGAAAAGGAGAGACGCATCGGTGTGTGAGGGAAACATGGGTTGGTTACTTCTCCCATGCCCCCACCTGGGAACTTGGCCCGAAACCCAGGCTTGAGCCCTAACAGGAACCAGCAACCCTCCAGAGCCACACCAGTCAGGACCCAGCCTTAACTTATCTTTGGAATTCTAAGCTAAGATCCAAGTGCCTACCAGATTCAGAGTGGCTTTGATTCCTGGTTCTGCCACTTACCTAACTTTGTGACTTTGGGCAAGTTATTCATCTCTTCTAGCTTCCTGATCTGTAAAATGGTTATACTAACAGCTACCTCTCAGGGTTTAATTCACTAATTCACTTACACCAGACCAACCACATTTCAGTAAATGCCAACTGACACAACCCCAAGGACTACATGGCTAAGGGACCCCTTCCCCTCAATGCCATGAAATTCGCATGAGATCTTTATAACTTCAAATGCTGTCTGGAAAATGAGAAAGGGAAGGGTAAAATAATAATTAAAAACCCAGAGTCATCCAAACCTTCTGAGTTACTTAGATACTGTCTAAAAAAAACTTTTGGACCCTACTGAGTTCACCAGAGTGGATTAATTTTAGTTCCCTTGCCCCTGTTACCCAGCAGGGTGGAGCCATTGTGAGCAACATCAAATCAGTTCTAGGAAACAGAGGAGACTTGTATCACTGTACATCTGAGTGCACTGTGAGTGAGTTTGCGACCTAGTTGCAGGAGCTCAGATTTTATCCTGGAAACAGTGGGGAGCCACTGAAGAATTTTGAGCAGAGGAATAATGTGATAATATCAAAAAATTAGAAGAATAATTTGAGCTGCTGCGGGGAAGGAGGGATTGAAAGCATTTGAGTGAAGAGTAATGGCGCACAAGGAGTAGTGACAGGGACTGAAATGATGTAGGGGAGCAGGAGTGGACGGAACAGGAGAGCACTGAGGACATTTGGGAGCTACAATTGGTGGGACTTAGCTAAACCTGCCGGATATGGGGGTAGGAGGAAGAGAAAATTTTGGATAACTCCCAGATTGATGAGTAGGAGTACTGTGATGCCTTTTACTGAGATAGGTAACATGTGAGAAGGGGTGAGTTTCATCAGGGGGCTGGAGTTGGGGGGAAGATGAGTTCAGTTTTGGATATGATGAATTTGATGTACCACGGGGCATCCAAATTGGGATATCCAATAGACACTTGAATAAACAGCTCTGAAATTTAGGAGGGAGGTCCAGGCTGCAAATAACATTTTGTGAGTTAACATTAAACAGTAGTCAAACCAGAAAAAAGGATGAGCTCACCCAGGAAAAGCAAGAACTGGTTTAAGCAAAAAAAGATACATTTATAATCAGATAATGAAACCTAAAGGCAGGGATGCCTCAGGAACAACTGGAACTAATAGACTCAAAAGACATTAGGTTTTCTCTCCACTTGCCATCTCTATTATTTTCTGTGTTTTTCATTTCCTTCCCCAACTCCAGGCCCTGTATCCCTGCCCCCACACTGGCTTCCAGTGCTCTTCTGGTCCACATGCTGGAAATGTTGACTTCAGATGATCCCAACACTTAAAATCTTCTTGTTGGGGTAGCCAACCCGACACTGGCTTTTCATGGTTGCAGTTTGCAAATTCTCAGAAAGTACTCTGATTGGCTCAGCTTAATAAGATGCTTAACTTGGGACCAATCAACTGTGGTCAAGGAATGAATGAGGATCAAATTGTCCAACATGGTCCACAAGATAACCCGTGGACATGGGGATATGGGTGGGGTTCCCAGGAGAAGAGAGATCCTGAAAAAGCAGAATGGCAGGTGTTCACTGTAGTTCACCCTTTGCCCAACATATTGTTTTCCTATATATGATTCCAAAAACGCTCTCACCTACATAACCCAACCATCTCACATGCGTATGCCAGTAGGTTCACCTCATTTCAGAAGGAGGGAAGCTCAGTGACAGTCATTTAGCTATTGTTTCTGGAGTTTATCTTATAGGACCACTGTTCTTCAAATATAGGTTCTCTGGGTAATGTCCCTTTGTGCTTTAGTTATCAGCAGGTCTCTCTAAGATGCAAACTTGTTTTCTAATAATCCTATGACCTTTGCTTCAACTGCCTTTGAACTATCTTTAACACCCCCTGCAGAAGCCTCAAACTTCCTAATACTTAGAGATGGAAAAAATAGAGAATAAAATGAAGTAAAAAGAAAGCACTGTATGGTGGTCAGTAATCCTAAGCATCATCTACATATTTTTGGCCACAAGTAACAATGAAAATGATGGGACTAGGAAATCTCACAGCATCTGTTTGCTGACATACTTCTTTGGCTACGGGTTTCCTGATAGGCTGCCCCAAGGTATTGCCCACAAGGATGAGATCCTTATCCAGTGTTCTGAGAGCTCCATTATGAAGGATTTCTCTGTGGGGCACCATGCTGACTAGTACTACTACTACACTTCCTGGTGGTGTCTTAGGGGCTGTTCTGGGACTGAGCAAACATAGATTTTGCATTTATGAGGGTTGGGCGCGGTTTTATTTTTCCTCCCATATGATACAGTTCTTTTTACAACCACAATCAGCTGTCTGTCAGTTTCATCTGGGGGAGAATTCCTTTTGCTAAAAACGTATCTCATTGATCCTAAAGCACATGTTTTTCTAGTTTAAACAACTCTGAAATCAGAATATGTCTTTCAGTTAATGACATGTAATAGTTTTTCAGCCTGTTTTTTCTTAGTAGTTCATAAAATAACTTGCCTCTTATATCTGATAGAACATTACATTTATTAAATATAGTAATTTTGTCAGTCAGAGTCCTTCTCCACAAATAATAGAATCCACTCTGGATAGTTGAAGCCTAAAAGGAATTTGCTTAAAAGATAGTATTTAGTTCAGAATTATTAGGAGGGCTGGGGAAATGGGCTTGAGGGTGTTCCTAGGAACAATGCCCAAACCACACCACTGCCATTCCAAATACTAAGCACCAGGATTTCAATTTGCCAACTTTACAAGCTCTATGGCACTTCTGTGGTAGGAACTCAATATCGCAACCACTGGGAGTCCACCGCTGTTACCACTAATTACCATACCCAACAGCTGGACACTTGTGGTACTTACCAGCAAGAGCGGAAATCAAAGCCCTATGTCTAACCTGCTTCCACCCTGTATCAGTCAGGATTATCTAGGTAACACAGCAGTTACAGACCTCACTGGTTTAAAACAACAAAGACATATTTCTTGCTCATGCTATAGTTCCAGCAGAATGAAGTGGGGAAGAGGTGTCTTGCTCACTGTGGTCACTGAGGGATATTGGCTGTTGGAGACTCCACCATCTTATGATGATCCCATCTCCTTACTATAAACCCTCAGAGTTTGCTGGGGCAGAAGAGAGGAAGGAAAAACTGGCTTCTGCTTACATTGCATTGATCAAAAATCTTGTGGCCACATCTAACATGAAGGGACAAAGAAGTGTAGTTCTCCTGGTGCTCAGAAGGACAGAAGAACCAGAAACACTGGTGAACTTTGGTGACATTGACCTCACTCATATTCCTCACGCATCCAAGTTTCACATGGGGAAAGGAGCATGCCAGCAAACAAGCTGCAAGGGATGCTGGAAATTTTAGTTTTGACTTTTGTACTGAAGAGGCTGGATTTTAAAATGAGAATTTAAAAGATGCAGGACATCCATGAATACAACATATTTCTACTACCATAATCAATACTAGAATTTTTAGAACCATGCTCTCTGAATATCCAGGTGTGCCAAGAAGATACAGGGCCTGCCCGAGGTTGTGGAGGAATGATTTCTCTTTTTTAGCACTGTGTCTAGGGGTTCTTTCAATCCCTCTGACTATGCCTTCTGGCTTCAGGGGGAATGATTGACTGGAGTGACAAGGCTGGAAGCTTTTCTTCAGCCTGCCTCAGAATGATGACCTTGCCTCCCTCGAGTTTCAGTCAACTCACTCTATGAAGGGAGGCACCATCACATTTGCCTGGTAGGGTAAGGACATCCAAATGGGTGATCTGCAAGCAGTTAGGGGACAATAGAGTAAGTATTTAACTTGGATAAGGAAAT